CAGATAACGTCCTCAACCTTTTCTTTTGGGCTTCTCCTCAGGGTTTGTAAAACGCATCTGCTAAGGAGAGGTTTCCATACCCTTATGAAGAATGTTTCATTTTCTTCCTTAACTGCGGTGAGATCTCACAATGCACCCCCTTTCGAGACATAAGGTTATTCAAATTTTTTATTTTAGTAAAAATAAAATATTAGTTCTTTTCAAACGTTTAACTAAAATTTGTCATTCAATTTCAATATATATTTTGAAAAGTTATCTGACAACAAATAATTAAAAGAATTATTAAATTAAATAAATAAAAATATATAATTACATCGTAAACAAATATGTATATTTAAAATTAACAATAAATTCATGATAAGTTCAACCTAATCTATGAAAATCGATTAAATAAGTTCATAACTCAATTCAAACGGTATAGATCAGGTTGGATTGATTGAGTTTTTTTGTATCATCGGATTTTTTGAACACTCCTAATTCTGATACTATACTATATCATCAATCAATTCAAAATCTTACACGAAAAAGGATAAGAATTAGATGATGAGTCGTTATTGAAAGTTCTTCCTTTTCTTCACTCTCCACAATTGTCTCCATACCCTCCAATTTAGTTTTAAATTTAAGTTAATTAAAGCTTAACGATATTTAAAATGCGTCGGGCCCGTTATGTCTCGTCATCAGTTTCACAGCTTCAAAACGCTTCTGGTAGGGAGAGGTTTCTACACACTTATAAGACATACTTTTCTCCCTTCTCCAACCGATGTTAGATTTTATCCACCCCCTTGAAGGCCTAACTTTCTCGTTGGCACATCGCTCAATATCTGACTCTGATACCATTTTGTAACAACCTAAGTCCACCGCTAGCAAATATTGTTCACTTTTACCTGTTACGTATCACCGTTAGCCTCACAACTTTAAAACATGTTTAACAGGGAGAGATTTCCACATTCTTATAAGAAATTCTTTGTTCTCCTCTCCAATTGACGTGAGATCTCACTATAACTATCGTAGTTATGTTATTAATTGTTTAATAGCGAATTTGAGTATCACTTCTTTTTCATACTTTACTTTGAATAATTGAGTTATGTGTAGACTAAACGGTTGAAGTAGCCATTAATAAGTCGATAAAGTTAAAGAATTTAATTTACTTTCGACAAAAACATTGCATAATTTATATTTCAATCCCATCGTACATAAATATGGTGTTGACAAATGTGACGCATTAAAATTTTTATAAATTCAATTACGTATGTTCACAAATTTCTGAAGAAATTTCTCGCTTCTTATCTTGTTAAGTTATATTACGGTTTAGTCCTTGAATTTTTATATTTTTGTTCGATAGATTTATAAATTTAAAAATTGTTTATATAAATCTCAATTCCGTTTAAGAGTTAGACATTTTTTCCGTGAGTCAATTTGACCAGAATAGGGTTACGAACCAACTCAATCCTACCCTATTTTTAAAAAAATTAAAAATATTTAACGTTTGTAACCGATATTAATGATGTATTGTGATTATAAATGTTTGATATTTGAACTATTAATATAATATTTATTAATTCTAGATAAATAATTTTTTAATAGAGAGTTGGGTTGTGAACAGTTTTTTGATCCCACTAACTCTAAATATTGTAAAAAAAAAAATTCAACCCAACCCAACCGACCGTGTACTCTCTCACAATTTATTCGTTTTTTCATCTAATATTTTTTATTTATTTTTATTTGTCATTTTTAGATGTGGAAAATATAATGGTAATGGGCCTAAACAAGCCCAATAAAAAAATCTTACTTTTAAGGAAACTACACAAAGCTCCCTACCACTTTGGATAACCTTAAATGGTAGAGAGCTTTGTGTGGTGTGTTCTAAATGTATGTTTAAGTGTACGATGTGTTTGAATTTTTGAACGCTTTTAACGTATCATTCTTTCTTAATCTATGAACCGACTTTATGAAAAAATCAGTCTTTCGGCTTCAAGTGTGACTGTTGGGTCTGGATAAGCAGGACCTCTTGGTTCGGATGAAACCGGAGATGTTGGCTAAGAAAGCTAATCATGCAAGTACAGGACGGACAAAATAAATGCACATACAAATTGATTGACATGATCCCTCTCCCTCTCTCTTTGGCTAGTTGGCTAGTTGCGCGATAAGCGGGAAAACATACTAGGCAGGGAAAGAAAGACTGATCGATCTCCTGTAAGGCCAACCCTCAACGGCGAGCACACCAGACAATTCTATAAGTCCGATAGAAGTCCAAGGTTTCGTCTTCAAACCTTTCAAATCGTTAAAGTCTTCGAATCTTTGAACCAAGGTCTTTTCGACTTTGCTAATACATTCCTTTTTTTCGAGGAGGGAGAATCACATAAGTTCATTGAAAGGGTATAATTGAATGAGACAAAAAGTGACAAAAAGAAAGAGAGAGATCAAGTCAGACAATGTTTCTTTCTTAGGACAATGCGTGTTGAATGTCTGTTGTCGTTATTATTATTGTCAGTTGTGCTATTGTAAAATATATGATGACTAAAATCTTCTCCAAATAGGTCAACTTTACTCCCCGAAGTCAACATAGAAAGAATTGTCCGTTTAAGAAAAGAAGTTAAAAGAAACTCGAGGAAAACCCTTACTCAAATTGTGGAGTTTCATAATAGTCGAGTAGAGTCAAATATTTCATAATTTCACGACTAAGTACATCGAGAATAGGTCAATATCTTCAACTATTATTTTTAGATCAAATTCAACAAGAATTAACTGTCTGTATCAGAGAAAGGTCAAACTCTTCTACTCAAACCGACATAGATACTAGACTTAATCCTCGTTGAATTATGAGACAGGAAGGATGTCTTTAGAGATAAGACTCGATATCTTTATGCGTAATAATGGATCGAACTTTGAAGTTTAAACTAAATTTTAATTATTATCTCTCCCGAGGTTGACCATAATAATTTAAATTTAAAATATTGTATCCAAACTACTCTTTTTCACCATCTCTAATTTAAAATTTGATCTTTTGGATAATCCCTTTTTTTTATTTTTTTATTTTCTTTTTTCGGTATTCAATTGCACTTATTAAAAACATGTGGGTAAAGGAGAAAATTATTTTAAATGGTAATTTAATTTAATAAAAAAAAATAGATAAGGCCATAAAGGTATTTTTAAAATTTAATCTTTTATTTTTTAAAAAAATAATAATTTACCAAGTTCCAAGAATGACTTGTTCACATGGTCTATGTCAATAAAATTAATTGATTAATTAGAAAATTAATATGTAAAATACCTTATTATAATTATAATTATATCATATATCATAGCCTCACCCCTATTTTATTGTCTTTTAGTCCTTAGAACGTGCATTACCGAGATTCCCAAATTTAAATTCAAATTTTATTAATAAAATACCGTAAATCTAAATTTCAATAACCGGTTAGGAATTTGTAACCATTTATTTTTAAATGCTCGTTTTTTAATATAAGATTGAAATTCTATTGTCGTGCAACTATACGTTGAAGAGCTTACTAGCTACAATCTCGACAACGTCTTGTCTCTCTTAGTAGTACTCTCTCTCTCTAGCAACTAACCTTGAGTTCAAATGGAGGAATGGTTGCTTACGAGTAGGGAGCACAAATTAGAGAGGAAATTGTTGGTCGTTTAGACAACTCGCCATACTTTTCATTCTATTTGTACCTGTTGTTACAACATGGCTCGACTAATTTACTTTAAAATTAGATAGATGGTACGGCTAACCAATATTAAAATTATTCCTCATTTATTTTTAGCCAAAATTTAAATGTGTTGTCATCAAATTATTTCCATACTTCTATTGTTATTATCTTTTAGTACCAAAAAAAAATATATATATATTATCTAAAAAAAAACATTTCTAAAATAATTCCAGATGAATATTTAACTTGCCAAAATAAACGTAACATTCATGTCATGAATTGGATAAGAATTCTTTATCGTTCCTGCTACATGATTCATGATTCATTACTGGCTTCTAGAAGTCAAAACTATCTCCACAAACCAATACAAATCATTTTAGGATGCTTTGTCCTCTTAGTATAACCGTTCAAGCCCACCATTAGCAAATATTGTCTTTTTTGAATTTTCTCTCTCAGACTTTTAAAAGAATGTTTTGTTCCCCTCCAACCTACGTGGGATCTCACAATATTTAAATATTATGAGATCTCGCATCGGTTGGAAAAGTGAATGAATCATTCTTTATAAGGGTGTGGAAACCTCTCCCTATCAGACACGTTTTAAAACCTTAAGAAAAGTCTGAGAGAGAAAATTCAAAGAAGACAATATTTGCTAATGGTGGGCTTGAACGGTTATACTAAGAGGACAAACCATCCTAAAATGATTCGTATTGGTTTGTGGAGATAGTTTTGACTTCTAGAAGCCAGTAATGAATCATGAATCATGTAGCAGGAACGATAAAGAATTCTTATCCAATTCATGACATGAATGTTACGTTTATTTTGGCAAGTTTAATATTCATCTGGAATTATTTTAGAAATGATTTTTTTTAGATAATACCCTTTTTTTTTTATATACTAAAAGATAATAACAATAGAAGTATGGAAATAATTTGATGACAACCACATTTAAATTTTGGCTAAAAATGAATGAGGAATAATTTTAATATTGGTTAGCCGTACCATCTATCTAATTTTAAAGTAAATTAGTCGAGCCATGTTGTAACAACAGGTACAAATAGAATGAAAAGTATGGCGAGTTGTCTAAACGACCAACAATTTCCTCTCTAATTTGTGTTCCCCTACTCGTAAGCATCCATTCCTCCATTTGAACTCGAGGTTAGTTGCAATATTTAATAGCGGTAGACTTGATCTGTTACAAGTATTATGTTTTTATGAAATGTTTTAAAAGGCCGATTAATATAGAATTGTTCAAAACAAAGTATATCTTGTAGTTACAAAGATGGAGGAATCGGAAAAGATACATAAATGGAATAGATGGAATAGGTCTCGATTCATTCATGAACGGTGAAGGGGTTAGAAGGGAATTGGATTAGCGATTGGCATAAGCATCCCGCGAGAAAAAGAAAGTCGGTGTTCTTGTTCCGTGAATGGAATGCGACCAAAACCCCGCATCCCTATTTCTCTCTATTTCTTTTTATTTTTCTGAATCTCTTTGTTTCCCTACAAATACAAGAATGCTCCTCAAACTTCCCTACGCCACTTCTCTCTTCTGTAGCGCTTCTAATTTCTTCTATTCTGGGGATCTTGTGATTTTGTAGAAACCAGGAGCGAAGTTTTTTTGGGTTTCAGCCAACACAACACATTCAATTACTCTTGCGATTTCGCGAGCTTAGCGGCCCCTTAGCTCGGAATTCGCAACAGGTAACATTGTCTGATGCCTTTCGATTTTGTTTTTTGGCTTTGATTTTGATGATTGTGGCTCTGGTTTTGCCTCTTTCTTACATTTGTTATATGTTTCTGAATGTGGCGCTTGGATTCTTAGAGATCGTGGATTTGTGTTTGTTTTCTGGATTCTTTTTTTGTTCCTCCGCCTCTTGTTTCTTTGTTTTTTTTTTTTTTAATTAATTTATTATTATTATAAATTTTATGTGTTTTGGAACTCTCCATTTACATTATTGAGAGTGCTTCTGGTAATTGGATTTTTGGAGTTTATTATGCTTTTGGAGGGCCTGAGTTGTGAATCTGTGATATCACACCTCTGTCAGGGAGGAGGACAAAACATTCTGGGTAAGGGTGTGGAAACATCTCCCTATCACGTTTTAAAAACGGTAAGGAAAAGCCTAGAGAGGACAATATTTGCTAGCGGAAAGTTTGGGCCATTACAAATGATATTAGAGCCAAACATTGGACGATGTGCGAGTGGAAGACTGAGCCCTGAAGGAGGGTGGACACGAGGTGGTGTGCCAGCGAGGACTCTGGGTCCTGGAGGAGGGTGGATTGTGAGATCCCACACATCTGTCGGGGAGGAAAATGAAACATTATTCATAAGGGTGTAAAACATCTCCCTAGGAGACCTTTTAAAAACCTTAAGGGGAAGCTCAAAAGGGAAAGCCCCAAAGAGGACAATACACAGTAGACTTGGGCCGTTACAAATGGTATCAGAGCCAGACACTGAGCGATGTGCTAGTGGAAGGTTGAGCCCCAAAGGAGGGTGGACACGAGGCGGTGTGCCAGCGAGGACGCTGAGTCCCGAAGGAGGGTGGATTGTGAGATCCCACCTCAGTTGAAACATTCTTTATATGGGTGTGGAAAACTCTCCCTAGCAAACGTGCTGGAAAGCCTAAAGAGGACAACATGTACTAGCACTAAGCTTGGGCCGTTACGAAATCTTTGTTCTTTCTTTCTTGCCGGTTTGTGTGTTTTAATTTCATTATTTCGTGCAATTTCTTGTCTCTCTCTCTCTTTTTATCTTTTTGTTGTTGTTTATGATTGAATGTTTGAGTTTCTTCTTGAATCCTCAAGTATTTTGAGTTGAATCTCATCTCTGATTCCATCTGTCTTGATCAGGGTAATCTAGAACTTGGAGGATTAAATTTCTCCATGGTGAGCTTTTAATTTTTCTTAAAAAAACCTTTCCTGTTCTGGCAAAAATATGCTTAAACTTCGATTAATTATGTGGACACTGAAAAACAATCGTGCTGTTTCTTTATTCTGAGCCAATTGTGTTGCCTTTTGTGTTCATTAGGGAGAAGCCGCAGCTTTCTTGGTTCATGATTTGAAGGAGGGATTCCCGAACGGGTTCGGTTTAAAATCGAAAGGTTGTGAAACAGCCACCGTCATAGGCAATAAAACAGTATGCTGACTTACTTTGTATTGTTTGTTCTATTGTGATTGTGATGCATCAAGAACTCATCTCTGAAAGTCTTAACTTTTTGATATGCTTTGGTAGTATGTCGTTGACGGAGGCTGTGATGACTCGATATTGTCCTTTCGAGTTCAAGTATTCGATCATTCGACAGGAACACGGTGAGTTTCTCCCGTGGTTATGCAATTGATTCTTTTAGTTCTAGGCTTCTAAGTTCGGTGGATTTTCAGGATCGATCCTGTCGTTTTGGGAACGATACCGGAGCCATGTAAAGGGCATTCGGCAATAGCTTTGAACGAAGATCATATATTGTTTATTAAGGGTGAATCGCCCTTACATGATTCCTTTTGGTTTCTTGAGGTATGTGTTCACGAGGATTCAACGGCACAAGATCACTCAGTGTTACACCTGATTCTTGGTTTTCTTTTCCCTATTCTTATGATATTTATCGGTTCTTATACGAGTAGGTGAATACTCCATATGTCCAAGAACGAACACGATCTTCGGGTTGTGAAGTTGTTGCTTGGAGTAAAGGGGTGAGGGGAACTGTTGAGAAGCCGATCGTTGTTAGCGGTCCGTCTGGGGTGGGCAAGGGTACTCTTATATCCATGCTCATGAAAGAATTCCCGTCTTTGTTTGGATTCTCTGTTAGCCACACGACTCGTGCTCCGAGAAACATGGAGAAAGATGGGCTTCATTACCATTTTACGGAACGAAATGCTATGGAAAAGGACATAAAAGAGGGAAAATTTCTCGAGTTTGCTTCAGTTCATGGAAACCTCTATGGAACAAGTGTCGAAGCTGTTGAAGTGGTCGCCGATGCCGGGAAAGTATGAAAATTCAGTTTGCTTCCATTTGAGGATTGTTTTTCGGTTTGATCAAATATGTATGATATTCATCATATCTTCTGGATCTTCCATGTAGAGATGCATTCTCGACATTGATGTTCAAGGCGCGAGGTCCATGAAGGCTAGCTCCCTCGACGCTATATTCATCTTCATCTGTCCACCTTCAATGGCTGAACTCGAGAAACGTCTTCATGCAAGGTGAGTTAAACGATACCATCGTCCATTCATGTTACGAGTCTGAATATGCATTGTTACATCCTCAGGGGAACCGAAACCGAAGAACAAATCCTCAAACGACTACAAAACGCCAAGGCCGAAATCGTGCAAGGAGAATCATCTGGAATATTTGATCACATCTTGTACAATGATAACCTTGAAGAGTGCTACAAGAGTCTCAAGGTAATTCCTTATGAAATGGAATGAAACTATGTGTTCAATCATCTTTTTGATGATTCAAATTATTTCAGAAACTCTTGGGGCTTGATGGGAGTGTCAATACTTGCACTAAATCAATCCCAGAAGATTTCGACCTTCCTCCGATCGTTCATTCGGTGTCAAGGATCGATAACAAAATAATAATAACCTACCGAGCTTCAGATCTCAAGGACGAATCCCAAAAGATGTAAGTACTAGAGTCACGCTTTATATCGATATGATTTGAAAGTTAGGGTGTTCGATGTGTTTATTTACAACTTTTTCGGAAGCAGGATCGGGCTGGATTTAACCTCGCTCAAAGGTGGTGCACCTGGCCGGACTAGAGGGTTGGATGTGTATCCGATCAATTCGGTTTCTAATGGCTCGAATATGATCAATCAGCTTAGCTAACAGCTCTACCAATGATTTAAGCTACTAACCTGTTACCCTTTCACAGACGATGACGAAGTGACGACGGTGCATTCCTAATTGAATTATATTGATTCGAGACGACGTTACAAGTTTGATTTTTCTCGCTCGCGTTTTAAGTTTAGGAAGAGAAACGACTCGATTGAAAAGGTCGAACGATCATTATTGTTTCTTACGTAGGCTGCTAGAACGTGATCATTGATATTAGTTTGGCAAATTGGGTCTGATCATTTATCCAACACTAATTTGTTATTGCTTTCTTCTTAGAAATTGAAAGTCCTATTTTTCCAGATTTCTTTTTGATGTTGAATGGGTTTCTTTGGGTTCTTGCTTTTGATTGTTGAGAGATAAAGAATGCCGTTATCCATCGAGTATTAATGCCTATTGAGTGCTATGTGACCTAAACAACTCGAATAGAATTTTCAATTTTATTTTTTTATTGAATAACTAAAATTGACAAGTTAGTCTTAGTCGATATGTATTAGTAGAATAATAAAAATGTGTTCCTCGTCATTAACATGTTTGATCGCCGTGTCGGTACTCGAATATTGGCTCGAGTTATTTTCTCTACCCTTTTTACTCTGAAAAAGCTGAGGCACCTTGCATCCTTTAACCAATAACCATCTTTCAGCTAACCCAACCTTGAGAACATGCTCGATAATCCTTTCTACTCCAAACACTATATGCCACATACGGTATGAAATACTCATAAAACTAAACGAATAAAACTATGTCTTAATAATAATTATTAGGGGTGCACACAGGTAACTGACTCAAAATTTCGAGTTCATTGGATTATTGACTAGAGCAATCTAAATAGAGTTCACAATCCAACAAACTCTCTATTTTTAGGTCGGGTTGGGTTGAGTTATTTTTTTTTTAAAATATATTTTAAAAAGTATCACGTGTTCACAATACATGCAATATTAATAATTAAAATCTTATAAATCTTAAATATCAAACATTTACAAGTCACACATATCATTGACATTAGTTATAAACATTAAATATTCTTGATCTTTTTTAAAATAGAGATGGATTGTAACCTTATTTTCGAGTTGGTCGGGATGACCCGACCGTAAACTCGCTAACCGAATAAAAATTTTCGGTTTTTTCAAAAATTCAACTTAACTTAACCCAAACCCGAAAAAAAAATTAACCCAACCTAACATTTATGATTTAAATGAGGTAGTTCGAGTTTGTTGCGTTATCGAATCATAAACACCCCTATAAAACCAAGTCCATTTATTTCAAATTTCTTATACAATTTTGACGACCTTCATAACAAAAAAAAAATAATAATGAATAAATGAAACCGCATGTGTTCTAAAAAAAATACTAAAAAAGAAAGCAAAACATGGTGATCCAATCCTAAGACAACTCGAAAAGATTTTTGTATAATATTTGTGATGACCTGATGGTTATCTTTGAAAGTGACACCGAATTTCCTAAATACATTTGCATTTGAAGCCTAATTTTACACGGTGAAGCCCACAAAACCGTTGGTGAGACCCCACAATGGCCGTTTCTCCATTTCTACTTCTCGCTCGCATTTCATTCTCCTTTTCTCCCTTTCCGTCCTCCTCTTCAATACCCTTTTCACACCTTTCCAAAACCCAGCTTCGATTCCATTTCTCTTTTTTTTGGGTTGAATTTCAGGCAGTGCAGTGGTTGATTGATTGATTGATTGATTGATTGATTGATCGATTCTTCTGCTTCGTGGTTTGATTTTGGGGTTTCCCAGTTGTTATGATCGGGAAATGGGAAATTTCTTTGAGTTATAGGGCTTCTATGTGTCTAATCTGCGTGTTTTAGAGGTGGGTTTGTGGGGAATTTTGAAGAGAAAATTAGAATGTCGAATCTATATGGGGATTATAATCAGAAGATTGATTATGTTTTCAAAGTTGTTTTGATCGGAGATTCGGCCGTCGGCAAAACCCAACTCCTTTCGCGATTTTCAAGGAATGAATTTAGCGTTGATTCCAAAGCTACTATTGGAGTCGAGTTTCAGACTAAAACTCTCGTTATTGATCAGAAAACAGTGAAAGCCCAGATATGGGATACTGCTGGACAGGAAAGGTATGTTGGTTTAATTCTTCTTGTTTTGTTTCTTGTGGAGTACTTCATTGTGTTCATGCTTTTGGATCTGTGATAGCTTTTAGAGATGAAAATTGGAATGTGCTCTTCAACTTTGTTGTAACTTATAGCTTAGAGTAGATGAATCATTGTATGATATAGCATGGAATTTGTAATAGCCCAAGCCCATCGCTAAGAGAATGAAACATTCTTTATAAGGGTGTGGAAACCTCTCCGTAGTTAAAGCCTTGAGGGGAAGTCTGAAAGGGGAAGTTTAAAGAGGACAATATCTACTTACGGTGGGCTTGGGCTGTTACAAATTGTATCAGAGCCAGACACCGAGCAGTGTGCCCAACGAGGACGTTGGGTCCCCAAAGGGGTAGATTGTAAGATCCCACGTCGAATAGAGAGGAGAACCACACATTCCTTATAAGGGTGTGGAAACTTCTCCCGAGCAGATGCGTTTTAAAACCTTGAGGGGAAGTCCAAAAGGGAAATCGCAAAAAGGGAAATATCTGTTAGCGGTGGGTTTGGGGTTCCCACGCTCTTATAAAGAATGTTTCGTTCTCCTCTTCAACCAATGTGGGGTCTTACAATATGAGGATAATATCTGGATGAGTACCAATTTCGTTGCATAACTCTAAAATACGCGTTTTAAAACCTTGAGGAGAAGTCCAAATAATACAATATCTGCTAGCGGCAGGCTTGGGCTAATACAAATGATATCAAAGTCAGACACCAAACGGTGTGCTAGCAAGAACGTTGGGCCTCCAAGGGGGGTGGATTGTGAGACCCCACATCGGTCGGAGAGGATAACGAAACATTCCTTATAAGGGTGTGAAAACCTCTTCCTAGTAGACATGTTTTAAAGCCTTGAGGGGAAGTCCGGAAGGGAAAGTCGAAAAGATGACAACATCTGCTAGCGGTAGCTTGGGCTGTTATAGAATTAGACGGCATAGATAGCAAAGAGTTCGGAAGCGTTTAATAGAATTGAAACTTGTTTTGTTATTGTTTTCTCTGTACTCTCAAATCCAGAGAGATTGGAGAGATACATTTATGTTTGAATGAACTTGTGGTGATTGGAATAGTGTTCATGTTCCTTTTTATTCTTTCGGAGATTGCAGAAGTTATTTTTCTCTTCATTTTATGTTTTTCTGTTTTTTTATTATATGTAGCTGCAGTGCATTCTTGTCCTGTTTTAGATTTATTGAAATTGTTGTAATAAGATCGATAAGTCATAGGTTTGGTTTATGTATGCTTGGAAAAGACATAATGAAAGAATGAGTTGTTGGGAGAAAAATGAGAAGGGTTTGATCTATGTGGGACTCGAGTAGTTCGGCACAGTGAGGCCCGACTTTCGTGATTCTCTTGTTGTAGGGTCGGAATGCAAACACAAGAGGACTCGGTTCTGCATAAATTCGAGAGGAAGGTAGGGGAGAGTGATGGAAAAGGTGAGTGAAGTCGGGGGGGAGTCGGATACCTTTCTCGAGTTTGCTAACTTTTGTTATCAAAAGTGTATTTCAAGTTAGGGAAATTCTATCAAATTGCTATTAGAGAACTTTCTTAGGCATACCTAAGAGTCAAGTGGAATGAGAACTAGTAGATATTGCTCTCTTTGAGCTTTCCCTTTTGGGCTTTCCCTCAAGGGAGAGGTTTCCATACCCTTATAAAGAATGTTTTGTTCTCCTCTTCAATCGATATGAGATCTTTCAATCCACCCTCTTTGGGGCCCAACATCCTTGCTAGCACACCGCCTGGTGTCCACCCCCTTCGGAGTTCAGCCTCCTAGCTGGCACATCACCTGGTGTCTAGCTCTGATATAATTTGTAACGGCTCAAGTCCACTTCTATCAGATATTGTCCTCTTTGAGTTTTCCCTTTCGAGCTTCCCCTCAAGGTTTTTAAAACGCATCTGCAAGGGAGAGATTTCCACACCCTTATAGAAAATGTTTCGTTCCTCTCTCCAATCGATGTGGGATCCTATAACCCCCCCTAGGCCCAACATCCTCACTGGCACTCATTCCCCTCTTCAATCGATGTGGGACCCCCCAATCCACCCTCATTTAGGGCTTAGCGTCTTGGCTGGCACACCGCCTGGTGTCGATCCCCCTTCGGAGTTCAGCATCATCCATCGAATGTCTGACTCTGATATCATTTGTAACCGCCCAAGCCCACTGCTAGCAAATATTGTCCCTTTTGGGCTTTTCTTTTCGAGTTTCCCCTCAAGGTTTTTAAAACGCGTCTACTAGGGAGAGGTTTCCACACCCTTATAAAGAATGCTTCGTTCCCGTCTCCAATTGATGTGGGATCTCACACTTGAAGTGCCTAAGTAACGGAAAGGACATTATCATTTGGATTAACCAATGAATAAGTTGCTGAAGCAAAGGGAGGAGGAATGAATTGTGACGAGGGACAAGACAGTTGAATTAAGGAGAGGGAGAGGCTAGTGAGATAATGAGGAGGAAGTCAGGCATAAATGAACTAACCACAAGAAGGCTAGAGCTGCCTCAATTGAATGGAGTCAATCCGAATGGATGGACGAGTCGTCAATCTCTTTGCACTCGGTGAAGTTCAAGCTGGCGAAGATAGCTCGATTTCCTACGACATCACATGAAGGAACGCCATATGAGCTTTTCTTAGCTCTACAACAGGAGAGTAGTGTGTACTAACTCAATGGATTGGCAGAGCAATGGTGGACGCCCCATCGAAAAGGTGGAGGTTTGGATGGGGTCATGATGAATAAACGAGCCACGAGTTCGGTTTATGTATTCGAGGAAGAAAACGAGAGAATTGGGTTAACTTGAATGCTAACCAGAAGGGTGTGAGTTATGCAGGACTCAAATTAGTTAGGAGGAGTGAGGTGCGTCATTTATAATTCCGATATCATCAGACGTGAGAGATGTCGAAGGAGAACGTTATGGAATAGTTGAGGAGAGTTCGATACGTATATCTGACGAAATAAGACTCTGAAAATCGATGTTATAAACTTAAATTGTGTAGGTTACGATGAATTTGTTCATAGTTTCTTATGATATCTTGTTATCTCCATTGTTAGATACCGAGCAGTGACAAGTGCATACTACAGAGGTGCAGTAGGAGCCATGCTAGTTTACGATATGACAAAGCGTCAATCGTTCGACCACATGGCACGGTGGCTGGAGGAGCTACGAGGACATGCTGATAAGAACATCGTCATAATGCTGATCGGAAACAAATGCGACTTAGGAAGCCTCCGAGCGGTGCCAACAGAAGATGCACAAGAATTTGCTGAAAGAGAGAACCTGTTCTTCATGGAGACGTCGGCTCTGGAGTCGACGAACGTCGAAACTGCGTTCTTCAGAATTCTAACAGAGATTTATAGGATAATCAGCAAGAAGAGTCTGGCAGCTGGGGAATCGATAGATATTGGCGTGAATCCAGCGCTGTTTAAAGGGACAAACATAGTTGTTCCTGGACAGGAGCAGGCTGGTGGGAGAAAAGGGTGTTGCTTTGCCTCATGAGTTTCCATATAATTCCATCATCATTTCAGTTGGGACATTGTTTTTCTATTCCACTTTTGATTTATACTAAGAAAAAAAAGATTCATGTATTTGTATTTTGTAGAGGAACTGGCTTTATACCATGGATGAAGGATTAGTGAAGCTTATCTCCCTCTCTTTGAACAATTTTTTTAAAAAATTCAACGCCCCCAACGCTCCAACGCTCCAGTACCAGTATTCTCCTGTATACTCTACGACATGATCATGTTATCTACTTGTCTAGGGTTCGAATCATGAGTTGGAATCTAGATTCGACATTTGATGTCTCCTATATACCCTGTGACATGATCATGTTACCTACTTGTCCATGATTCGAATCAGGATTTGGAATCTGAATTTGGCATTTGATGTCTCTTGTATGCCCTACGATACAAGTAGTATAGGTATAACTTCAATTCTTTTAAACTTTTTTCAATCGTAACTATCCTAATGGTCACTCTTATTCACTCGGGATCTTATTGGATATACTCAAACATACCAGACTTTAAGTTACTTTGCCACTACCACAAGAACTTCAAGTTTCTCACCCAACATCCATATGACTATTTAGTTTACTCGGTATGTTGTATACTTCCAACTGCAAAAGAGCAATAGATCGTGTACAAGAACGAACTTCTAAGTCGTGTGTAGAAAAGTACTAAGCATCTAGACATATCTAAAAATGAAATTTGAACTTAAGGCTATAAACATGATTTTAGATTTCATTGAAACATGAACACTAGATCATGTCGCCCGGTAGATGCAAAAGAGAATGACCCGAGGATGAAACAGGGGTAAAAGAACTCATGATGCTTTGGTGATTTTAGGTTTAGGGTTTAGGGTTCTAATAGGGTTGATCCCTGCCATGTCTAGGAAACTGAGTTAACGCATTAATGAACTTTTTGAAAACTCAAAAGTATTTTAAAACCAAAATTAACGATAAGGGTATTTTTGAACTTTTCAGAAAAGTTTAAGGGTGTTTTTGACATTTTTGAGATAAAATATATTTTGCACACGTGTAAGCAGAAAACAATGGGATTTAAAACATAGGGACTATATAGTCATTTCACATGGAGAAGCCAAAAAAGAATTGGGTTTCAAAAATAAAGATCCCGCTCTTGCAACAAATTTGAAATTCAAATCAGAAAATTGAAAAATGGGTTTAAGTAGCGCCCAAATTTTCACATTTGAAAATCGCCCAAAATTTCGCCTTCTCTCAAACAACCTCCATCTTCTTCCCTCTCGTTTTTCAACTGCGCGTCTCAGAGAGCGCCTCCCACCAATCCACCGCCATTCTTTTTTGTTTCTTGTATTTTGGTCAAACCAAATAAACTCCATTGAAGCCCACTGGAATCTCACGGTATGATTCATCTCCCTCTTCCTTTTTCTCATCTCTTTGTTCAGATTGTTGAAATGAAATGTAGGTTTTAACTCAAAGAATCTGGTTCTTGTTACTGTAAGAATCTTCTGTTTTTCTTTTGAAATGATCGTTTTCTTGTTTCTTCTGAAGTTCCATAATGTCGGAATCAAGGGATAGATTGGAGAGGCAAGTGGACTATGCCGAGGTCTTTGCTCGTCGGAGATCAGAAGGCGGTATATTGGACGAGCAAGAAATGAGTACTACTTTGATCGGGACTCCCATCGCGCGCGCCACAACGACGACTACAGCTCAACAAAGACCTACGAATCTCGGGCCTGGAGGTGGTGGTGGTGGTGGCGGTGCGATTCCGAGACGCAGTTTTGGTTCTCCCATTTCTGGTGGAATTGGGCGTAATAGATTTCTTTACAGATCTCCAGTTTTGAGCCGCGAGAATACGGCGGCTGGGAGTTCCAGACGGAGTAGATCCCGTGTGAGGCATAGTGTTTTGCCGATTTGGTATCCAAGAACTCCACTCCGCGACATTACTGCAGTTGTGAGGGTAAATGACTAACTCTCCTGTTATTTTGATTCTGCTCTGCTAGATCTTTCAAGTGTTCGTTGTGTTCTGCTTTCAATTTGTGGAGTATCTGCACATAGCATCCATTGAAATTTCTCTACTTATTGCATTTCGACTGGTAAATTTGATTCATATGAGCTCTGTTAAATTCACTCATTGTCATTGCATCTCTCTCTCTGGTATTCATATACACCAATATCTTGAGATAACTGTTCTCTAATACTGTATGCTTGTTTGTTTAGATTCATTCTAATTTGAAGTTGCTTGAACTTTCGGAAACCCTCTATTTATTTTTTTTTTCCCGTAGTTATGATCTTGTTTCTGTTTTTCAGTTGGTAGCATCTGATTTGATTTGAGTTGAGCTGACATTTAATCGGAAATGTTAATTTCATATGTCCCAATCCATTTTTGTGAATCCTGAGATCGGATTACTTTCCTTGCCCTTTAAGTTAATTAATTAATATATTTCCAGTTCTTAAGCAATTGACTACCGACTTGTTTGTCTAAAAAGAAGATTCTCTTTGTTTTGTAACGTCCATACTCGATGATTCCATATGTAACATCAACAGTCTTGATAATGATATCCTGTCCACCATTTATAAAGTTCACTTAATTCTTCTCCTTGTTAGTTTGTTTCTTTATTATTTTATTTTTATTCAAATTGTTTTCTAGGCTTTGTTTTAACCTATTATTTGAACTACTTTTTGGTGGGCTCACCATGCTTCGGCTGATTGCAGTGCATATTAGCACAAGATATTATCATTACTTGTGGGACATGTTTTCAACGCTTTTAACGCGTTTGAATTAATAGACACTTGTACTAACGTTTTCGATGTGTTCGTATATTTATGTTGTTATTAATGAACAAAAAAATTAATTAATTTTGATGGTGACAAATATTTTATATTTTCAAGCCTCTAGGTACATGTACATTATTGACTTATCTACGCCACGTGATTGTGTATTATGCATCATTCATCTCAAATCTTTGCTACTTTTTAAGTTGGTTCCCTGATATTTTTGCTGTCAATGTGAGAAATTTCCCCATTTTTCACGTTTCCAAGGATTTTATTTGATGAGAACTTCTATTAGAAGTCTGTATTGAGCTATGTCATTGTGAATTCTCTTAATGAATTGCATATGGACTCAAGTTTTTGGGCTAATTCTTCGCATTCCTATTTCATGTGTTCAACTTATTTTGATTTTTTCTGGGAATTTAGTTACTGCTCCATGTCGTCCAATAGCATCTGTGTTCTTCCTAGATATCTCCTTTCTTAGTTGTCCATTTGATGCGTGGTGAACTGGGGTTGTGCCATTTATAAGCATCTTCCAATAGTGTTCTTAACTTGGGGAGAATCATATTCTTAAATCAGGCAATTGAAAGAACACGAGCTCGGTTGAGAGAAAACGAAGGCCAAGGAAGTGATAATAGTCCAGCTCCCTCGGACGAAAGAGCTTTAGAGTTTAGCGCATCTGTGTCAGGTGGTCATCAAGAGCCAGACGTTTCTCTGGTCACCCCTAAACCAACCGTAGGCAAAGTGACAAAGATTCTTCGTGGAATTGCAAATGAGAATGTGGAAGAATCAGAGATGCTCACCCCACAGAAGAAACTCTTGAACTCCATTGACAAAGTGGAGAAAGTAGTGAGGGAGGAGTTGCAGAAATTGAGAAAGACACCGAGTGCAAAGAGAGCCGAGAGGGAAAAAAGAGTTCGCACTTTGATGTCATTTCGTTGATTCAGTTCAACAGTCGGTCACTCCCAGAATTGGGGAGAACCAGATCATCATCATGTTGATCAGATTCATTCAGAACTCAGATATATCATCTGCTGATGATTACTCGGTAAAGAGCGCTGGATGATATGATACCAGAGGGTTAAGGGAGAAGGAGAGATCCTCATCTTCTGATGAGATCTCAAGAGGACTATTATCTTACTTTCCTGTTAAATGAATCCTTTTCATTTGCTAGAACCATAATAGGTTGTTTTGTTGTTGTAGGGTCGTCTGCCCTTAATTCTGTTTACTGCAAATATAGATAGTGGAAGTAGGCCATCTGTTTTGGGCGGTGGAAATGATGTATAGAAGAATTATTAACCAACTCTAGACTTGAATTTTTGCCTTTCAAAAATGCACATTTTTTATTAACTGCTGTGAATTGGGTAGAGTTTGGTTCATTACATCTACCATATCAACTTTAAGAAGGGTTATTTTAGACGTCTTTTGGGATTTGTTTTCTTTTGGAAGGTAAAAATAACCAACTAATGCTCATCATGGGCAGGTTTTGAGGAGCAGTAGCAGCAGGTTCAAATGGTGAAAGAGAAACCCATATGATTAGAGATGTTGAGACTGTGTAGGAACTCGCCTCGAGTAGGGAGGGGATTATTGAGAATTGTTGGTGGGGAACCACATCGACTAATTAAATGGTTTATCATGAATTTATAAATAAGAAAAACATCACTTATAGGTTTTTTTTTTTATTGGAGATTTGTGATTCCTTAAGATTCCTCTCTTAAATGGGGAATTGGTAGGGAGTGTAAGATATTTTCTGTTAGAATCTAAATGTGACGAGGATGGCAGTCCACGCCAATTCCTCGTCTAAAAGGAAAATACATCAAAGTACATTAATATTAAATACATCCTTCATCCTTTGCAGCTACCAAGTGGCGCCCCACACAAACACTTGTTATGAAAATAGGAACTCAAATCAAAGCTCTGCAAGCGGCCGCCCACCGGAATCTGGCCGCACAGCCTATTATAACTGACATTCAACTGAAAAGTCAGTTCCGTCATCGCCACCGGAATACTCCCAAAGATCTTATTATGGTTAAGATCCAGCGTAGTCAGGCTCCGGGGAAACACAACCTCCGACAAGTTAAACTCCAACAGATTCCTCGACAAATCAACGATCTGGGTCGTCTTGTTTGCACCAAATAACATCCACGCGCCGCCTTCAAGCCTGTTTCTCGCCAAAGAAACCACATTGAAATCCATTTTTGACAAGGAAGCTGGAATTTTCCCGGAAAGTTCGTTGTGGGAAAGATAAAGGTAAGGAATCTCTCCCTCGAAGTACCCAAAAGAGTCCGGGATTTGTCCTGTTAACTTGTTTCTGTCCAAATGGAGAGAGCCGAGATTCGGGAGCTGGGAGAGAGAACTTGGGATTGTTCCGGTGAGATTATTGAAGGAAAGGTTGAGGAGGGTGAGATTTTTGAGGGAGCCGAGGAAGCTTGGGAGAGAGCCAGAGAGATTGTTCCAGCTGAGGTCGAGGGATTTGAGGTGGCGGAGATTGGCTATGGTGGGTTGGATGGGTCCGGTGAGATTTGGCAGCTTGTGGAGCATGAGGGTTTGTAAGAATGGAAGGTCACCGACGTCCGGTGGGATTTGGCCGGAGATTTTGTCGTCGGCGAGGATGATGAGGGAGATGACACGGTGGGTGGTCGGGTGGCAGTCGACAGAGTACCAGGTACAACAGTCCTGTTTGGGATCCCAAGAGGAGAGGACGTAGGGGTTGTTGAAGGCTTTTTTGATGGTGAGGAGGACTTTTTTGTCAGCTGGGTTGCAGAGCTCTGCAACAGAAATGGCGATGGAGATGAAGAAAATGAGAGAGAAGAGGAGCCATGAGAGTTTGAGATTTGGAGCCATGGAGGAAATGGGGGACAGGTATGGTCGGGAGGGTAATAGATGGATGAAGTTGGAAAGGGATAGTCCAAATCAAAGTCAAATAGTGAAGGTGGTGTTTGGAGCATTATAACATTGCTCATTGCTCCTTCTTTGTACTTTATTGACTTTAGTCTCCATTCATCAAGTGATTCTTGATGAATCTATGTAAGTGGTGAGTGTATGTAACGCTAATGGACAATATATATATATATTTTGGTGTATGATCATGCACTCACACACCATGAAATAGTAAACACTTATCTAAAGATAAAAGTATGTAAGAGGGGTTTGGAACAGACATGCGATCATGGACAACACGTCCTGGACAAGCATGACCGAAACATCCAACATGCAACCATAAACAACACACCTTAAACAAGCATGACCGTGAAAACTATCTCTCTCTTAGTTAAGACGTCAAGAGCTTCCAATTTTGATTTATGCTTGTTTAAAACAAGATCGTTATTTGATTATTCTTCCAAATTGAATGCCTAATCATTTATATTAAACTTTGGCAGGCCTTGGCCATCATCAAAATTATATATATATATATATATATACATTAAATACAACAAACAAAAAACATGAACACAATCATAAAAGATCTAATCACAATGAACAATACTTCTCGCCGGCTGATGTAAACAGCATCAAAGTCGTCTCCTTCCATATAAAAACTATATTGAACTGATCAACCTTCATTTGAGTCATCAATGGAGGATTTCCAAAGCTACACAATTCTCTTCCTCATATGGCTACTTTCCACCATCACAATCCGCTTCATTTTCGCCAAAACCAAGCCAAACCCTCGCCTTCCTCCAACCCCTTTAGCCCTTCCCATCATCGGCCATCTCCACCTCCTAGGACCCCTACCCCACAAAGCTTTCCACAAGCTCTCAGCCCGCCATGGCCCTCTAATTCACCTCCGTCTAGGCTCCGTCCCTTGCATCGTAGTTTCATCCGCCGAAACGGCGAAACAAGTCCTCAAAACACACGAATCATCCTTCTCAAACCGACCCCATTTGGCTGCAGTTGACTATCTAACCTACAACTCAGCGGACTTCTCCTTTGCTCCCTATGGACGCTATTGGAAGTTCATGAAGAAGCTTTGTATGTCGGAGCTCCTCGGTAGCCGAACGCTCGACAGCCTTGCTCCAATAAGACAAGACGAGACACAGCGGTTTCTACGGTCATTACAGACAAAGGCGGTCGAGGGGAAAGATGTTGATGTTGGAAGAGAGTTGATGAGGGCGAGCAACAATGTGATATCAAGAATGACGTTGGGGAAACGAAGCGCGGAGGAGGAAGAAGAAGCGGAGGGGATAAGGATGTTGGTTAAGGATGTAGCTGAGCTTACTGGGACTTTTAATGTTTCGGATTACATTTGGTTTTGTAAGGGTTTGGACTTGCAAGGGCTTGGGAAGAAGCTGAGGGAAGTTCGTGAGAGGTTTGATAAGATGATGGAGAGGTTGATAAAGGAACATGAAGAGAGCTTGAAGATGATGGAGATGGAGGGAAATGGTGATGAGAAAGTTATGGATTTGCTTCATATTTTGCTTCTTAAGTTTAGAGATGAAAACTCGGAAGTGAAATTGACTCGAGAGAATATTAAGGCTTTTATTCTCGTAAGTTTGATTTAAAGTTATGGTTTAGTTTTCGATGTTAAGAGTCACAGACCTCCACAATGGTATGATTTTGTTCACTTACTTATAGACCCATGATCATTCTCTTAGTTAGCCGATGTGGGACTCCCACCAACAATCCTCCCTTTGAATAAAGTATACCATAGAGCCTCCCCTGAGACTTATGGAGCCCTTGAGTAGTCTCTCCTTGATTAAGATTCGACTCCTTTCCCCTAAAGCCTATGGAGCCCTCGAATAGCCTCTGCTTAATTGAGGCTTGACTCCTTTACCCTGAGCCCTATGGAGCCCTCGAACAGCCTCCCCATAATTGAGGCTCGACTCCTTTCTCGAAGCCTATGGAGCCCTCGAACAAAGTACACCCAAACAACCTCCCGTTAATTGAGGTCTGACTCATTTCTCTAGAGCCCTCGAACAAAGTATACCATTTGTTCGACACTTTAGTTACTTTTTTACTATACCTTCGAGACTCACAACTTCTTCGTTCAATATGGATAAGTTAAGGACATGATTCTGCTAACATGTTAGAATCACATACCTCCATAATGATATGATATTGTCCACTTTGAGCATAAGGTCATGTGGTTTTGCTTTTGGTTTCCCCAAAAGGCCTCGTATCAATAGAGATGTATTCCTTACTTATAATCCCATGATCATCCCCTTAATTAGCCGACGTAGGATTCCTACGGACAATCTGACTAAGTCCCAATAAATTTTGCAGGACATATTTGTAGCAGGGACAGACGCATCAGCAATAACAACAGAATGGGCATTGGCAGAGCTAATCAACCATCCAAACATAATGGAGAAAGCCAGACAAGAACTCCACACAGTTGTAGGAAAGAGCAGACTGGTTGAGGAATCAGATATCACCAACCTTCCTTATCTCCAAGCAATAGTAAAGGAGACATTGAGGCTTCATTCAAGCCCATTGATAGTGAGGGAGTCAACTGAAAGCTGCACAATAAATGGCTACGAAATTCCACCAAAAACCCAATTGTATGTGAACATTTGGGCCATTGGGAGAGACCCAAATCAGTGGGAAAACCCTCTTGAGTTTGAGCCAGATAGGTTTATGGGCAAAGAAGGGAGCGTGAGTGGTGATTTGAGAGGGCAGAATTTTAATCTGCTGCCATTTGGGAGTGGTAGAAGAAGCTGTCCTGGAACAACGCTTGCATTGCTCATAGTTCAAACTACTTTGGCTTGCTTGGTTCAGTGCTTTGATTGGAAGGTTAGTGGAGGAGATGGCAAAGTTGATATGGAAGAAGGGCCTGGCCTTACACTTCCTAGGGCTCAGCCTTTGATTTGTGTACCCATGGCTTGTCTGAGTCCGTTTCCATCGTTAGCCGATATTATATCGTAATCTCTTCCACTACCATGCTATCTCGACGTGTTTTAGATTTGTTTGTATGTCCATCTGCTTAGTGATCAATGATGAAGTGTTGGATGATTTCTTACTCAAGGAGTTGGCCACCACATTTTCTTTACTCGAATAAAATAATATTTCTATGTCAGTTCTAGACCAACTCTAGCTATCAACTCTGCCCGTATTAAGTCCTCCAAATCTTTAGGACAAAAACTATGTCACTAGCTCTAAATCATGCATCAAGTAATTGTACTCATAATCTTTTAATTGGTAGGATGCGCAAGTCACAAACTTGTCATGTTGCATTAAAGCACAACCCATCCTTTCTTTGAGGCATCACTATATACTATGAATCTTCCTGTCGTCCTTGTTGGCTCCGATAGCACTAGAGCCAAAACTAGACCAAATTAAGCTTCTGAAAAAATTCTTAGTCTTTGTTTGAAGTGTAAGAACTCCCATTCTTAGTCAACGGGGTAAGAGGGGTAGTTATCTATTTCAATCTTTTTAGGATCCACCATAACACTCACATGCTTCCTAAAAAAATTCATAAGAAGCCACTAAACATAAAACTGCTTCAAGTAGAACACACTTAACATTAAAGTTCTTATGATTGAGCCATCGACCAACAAGTAAAATACTATAGTCATCGATGAAACCAAATCCAAACCAACATCTTCAATTGTTGTTGACTTCTCAAAGCCTCTTTACTCCATGATCCACATGAGCTGAGCTACTACGCGTCTTTAGCTGTCAGTCCACAGTCCACAGTCCAAAGCCTTCACCAGATGCATACTTAAATCCCAAATCATATATATCTCAGCTACTCATCACCTCCACCTTCCTCACTCAAATCCATGGCTTCCAAACTCAACCTCCCATGCCTCTTCCTCTCCCTCTTCATCACCATTTCTGTTGCAGAACTCTGCCACCAAGACGACAAGAAGGCTCTCCTCAACATCAAAAAAGCCTTCAACAACCCCTACATCCTCACCTCCTGGGACCCTCAAACCGACTGCTGCCACTGGTACTGCGTCAAATGCAACCGAACCACCCACCGCATCACCTCCCTCACCATCTTCGCCGACGACCGTCTCTCCGGCGAAATACCACCCTACGTCGGCGACCTTCCATTTTTAGAAACCCTCATTCTCCACAAACTCCCAAATCTCACCGGACCCATCCACCCCAACATAGCCAAACTCCATAACCTTAAATTCCTCGACCTCAGCTGGAACAGCCTCTCCGGTCCCATCCCTGATTTCCTCAGCACCCTCTCCAACCTCTTCGTTCTCAGCCTTTCCTTCAACAATTTCAACGGAACCATTCCAAATTCTCTCTCCAAACTCCCAAATCTCGGCGGGTTACAATTGGACAGAAACAATTTGACCGGAGAAATCCCAGATTCGTTCGGGTACTTCACCGGAGAACAGGCCCCGTCTCTGTATCTTTCACACAATCAACTTTCTGGGAAAATCCCATCTTCCTTGTCGAGATTGAACTTCACTTCCATTGATTTGTCCCGCAACAAGCTTAAAGGCGACGCCTTTATGATATTTGGGTCAAATAAGACCGTTCAGATCGTTGACTTGTCGAGGAATCAGCTGGAGTTTAACTTGTCGGAGGCTGTGTTTCCTCAGAGCTTGACTTCGTTGGATGTTAACCATAATAAGGTGTTTGGGGGTTTGCGTCCGGAGATGACAAAGCTGAATTTTCAGTATTTGAATGTGAGTTATAATCGGCTGTGCGGTGAGATTCCTGTTGGCGGAGAGCTGCAGAAGTTTGATGTTTACGAGTATTTTCATAATAAGTGTTTGTGTGGCGCACCGCTGGGTAGCTGCAAATGATGGGACTTTGCACGCAACTTTGAGAATACTGAATAAAGTAAGAGGATTTCAATGTGTTCCTTTATTGCAACTTCACATTGCAACTTATTACAAGTCAAATCTAATCATTGGGGTTGCACGAAGATCCAAGTTTGATTCAAATTAAGTTTAAGTCTATGACAGTGTCAGATCGTGTAATTGTCTAAATCCGTCGCTAGTAAATATTGTTCTCTTTCGACTTTTCTTTTTAGGTTTTCATTCGAACGCATCTGATAGAGAGAGAGGTTTCCTGTCACGACCCGAAATACATAACTTCAAGCCATGACTAATAAGAAATATGACATGTAATGTATAAACGAGAAATTCAAGGAAAACATTTATTTCAAAAGAATTTCATTCATTTCATAAGAAAAACGTATCTTTACTAAAAGGACATATGTGCCTAGGTAAAAATAAGAAAAGAAACATGATAGACAAAGTGTACTATTCGATAAGCTAGACTGACGCCCCGGAACACGCTTTCTCTGTGACTACCCACATCGATCAACGCGCCCTCTCTTGACTCGACGCCTCACGTACCTAAAAAAAAAAAGGTATAGCTAGAATGAGTATAAAAATTATACTCAATAAGCTACCTACTTGTAGGCTCTCATAGCATTCCAATTACGACAAACTCCCACGGTCTCTTTCCTTGACTTTTGTACATCTAGATTAGGTCTTAGCTCCTTGGGGTTTCTTTGGTGCTTCGTCCTATCATTTATACCCTAAGAGTTACCTTATGTCATTCTGTGCTTGATTGGTACTCTTTGAGTAGCTACCTCGGCATGACTATGAGACTACCTGATGTCATATCTAGGAAGTGAGCTACAACCCCCTAGTCCACGATAATCCCCCATTATTCGGGGAGGGCTACCTCCCCCATTCCCATCCAGCTAATGGTCTGTTCCAATGTGGGTCTCCCGTTTCCCATGCTAAAACGACTTTAGAGCAGATGAGTCCTGATCAGGAACCCCCTGGTCTCCCACGAAGCATTATCATCAATCGCACATAGTTAACCTAAGGGTTCCCTAGTGGCAGTTCGTTTACCGTGGTAGTTTCTTATGTTTCTAGGAGAGGGGTCAGGTCTGTACTTAGCATCATGTTACTCAAACCATAAATCCCTAGACTTAATCATACAAGTGGGCCATGAAAATCAACTGGGTAAGTACATAATTACCATCCAACATCATCATACAATTTTCATGCGAGGTAAACATACAAGCTCAACGGGGTGATATCGTCCATCAACTCCCGAAGCGTAGATTTCCCAAATTTTCATCTCCATTCAGCATAGAATATCCATATACATAGCAAGCGGAAACTTAAAGCATAACGACACTCAAGTAATCCTCATAGTAATTCACACAATACACCCTACTTTTGATAATTGAATACCTACAAACAATCACGGGAAGTTTCGACCTAAGGTAATTAAACTAGCATGCATGCATTCCAAGCGACTCTTACAAGTATTACTTCCTAGAATTTCATGTGGTGACTTACTTGGATGATGCGTGCCCTTACGCAGCGTTTCCACACACTTGACGTATCGAAAGGGGGTGATTTTTTCTCAATTAGGTCCTATTTCACACAAAATGGAGTTAGGATTGGGATCAGGAGGAAAATAGGGAAAACAGAAGTCGGTCCAAAAATAAGCTTCCACGCGCCAGCCACGCGCCTGAGAGTAACCACTCGCAGGTTACACGCGCGAGTGTCACGCGCCCAGAGTTTCTGCAGTCGCGGGTCGCGGTTCGGTTCGGACGCAGTGGCTCGGGTGGACCGCGGGTCGTCGGTTCGTTTTGGCTCGCCGCGCGGGTATCGGGTAAGTCGACGGACGCAGGTCGGGTTGCGTTGCCGGGGACGCGTGTCGCAAGGAGGCTGGAGCCGCGTTTTCCAGGCGGCGTTCGACGCGCGTTCGAAGGCGATTGGCGCACGCGGCCCTCTATATAGTTGACACGTGGCACGCCGGTGACTTCTCTCTCCTCCTAGCAGGGAAATCAAGGTTTTCCGATTAGTTTTCGGAGGTTCTCTCCATTTTCTATCTTTTCGATTCTTAATCCAAACAGAAATAGTTTCTCCATTTTCTATCTTTTCAATCAATCTACGTGCCAATATTTTTTTTTTTCTTCATTTTTGCTTAGTCATACAATGAGTTATGAGCGTCGGAAAGAGGTCCGGTAACATCCTTACCGTTCTCGGAAAGATTTTCAGATCTCGAGTTTCGTCCGATTTTTTCATCAAAATCAGCGGTGGATCTTCCCTGGATGAAGGTAGTATGCTTAATCACTCTACTCCTTAACAAAAATCTCACATCTGGAAAGTATAGTTCAAAATCTTACCTTGCGGGTTTTCTTTCTGATCTTGACGAAAGAGGAGGAAATCTTAACACGAGTTCTTACTTCACTCCAAGAAGAACTCCAGAGTATAGACCTTAGTAGGAAATGGATTCCGTACTCTCAGACGAATACTCTGGCTATTCAATTTTCTCTCTCAAATTCAGTCTCAACCTTCTCTCTCACTTTTCTTTCTTTTGCAGGAATTATGTGGAGGACCCTCAAGACCCCTATAATGGGCCGAGGGGTAAAATGTCCATTTTACCCCTTGGCCGTTTATTTTTATACGTTACATTTCCACACTCATAAAGTGTTTCATTCCCCTCTCCAACCGATGTGGGATCTCACAATCCACTCCCCTTTGGGGCTCAACGTCCTTGCTGACACTTGTTCCTCTTTCTAATTGATGTAGGATCTAACAATCCACCCTATTCGGAGCCCAACGTGCTTGATGACACGCCGCCTAGTGTCCACCCCCAACGTCCTCACTAGCACATGGCTTGGTGTCTGGCTCTAATATCATTTGTAATCTCTCAAGCCGACTGCTAGCAGATATTGTCCTGTTTGAGTTTTCCTTTTCAGACTTCCCTTAAGCACATCCACATCCATAAAGAATATTTCGTTCCCCTAGCAACACATTTTCAAAACCTTGAGGGAAGTTCGAAAGGAAAAGCCAAAAGAGGACAATATGTGCTAGTGGTGGGCTTGAACCGTTACAAATGATATTAGAGCCAGGTCACCGGGTGATGTGCCAATGAGGAAGTTGATCTCTGAAGGGGGTGGACACGAGGCGGTGTATCAACAAGGACGCTGGACTCCCAAAAAGTAGTGGATTTGGGAGTCACACATCAACTGAGAGGATAACAAAACATTATTTATAAGAACCACTACAACTTGGGTCATAATACTTACCCCAAATCAACCTCTATAACATACCTATTTTTACTTCCTAATAGGAACAGACTCAACCCACATTCTTCTTCCTTGGCAGCAGCCCAACGCCGTATGTATATCATTTATGGGCCCAGCCCGATTACTTTTCCAGCCTAATAGCAAGTATTATACTACACAATACCTAGTGAGTTAGTGAGGCACCCTGTCGATTGTCCACTAACTTCCTTCTAGTATTATACTACACAATACCTAGTGAGTTAGTCCTCTTCATTCTAGTTCATCTTGCATAGTGATCCTCTTCCTTCTAGTTCACCTCGCATGATGATGTTCGGTTAACTTTTTCTTCCTTCTACTTCATTTTTTTTTTTTTTTAACAAACGGTTTGAGTTGCTTTACCTCAAAATGTTGAGTTCTATAAAAGATTCACGAAAAGAAAGAAAGAAAAAAAAAGGAAAAAGTATGATTATGTATAGGTTCACAAAATTAGTCACTTCGTCAAATTATAGCATCTTTTAAAAGAAATACGGAGTTAGATAACTACCATTTAAACTTTTGATGCTCTTCAAACTTTTGATGAAATTCCTATTTAGAATTCTTGGATCTCACGTTCGTTAATCAAAAGAAAAAAAATCATGGATATGAAGTATTTTGAGAAAATCATAAGAATTTATGTTCAGACAATATCATATCATCTAGATAATACTTAATGGTGTGCTTTGTTCGAGTGAAATATCATCGTTGGTTAAAACTCTTATAACTAATAAGATCAATACCCCTTTGCATTAAAAAAAAGACTTATAATTATATGATTTCGAAATTAAAAACTATTTATTAGAAAGGAATAATGACTTTTGAGGTAGAAAGAAAAAAGGACAATAAGAAACAAAAGTTGATGGGAGAATAAAGGAGAGGAATAATGTGGAAAAATTAAATATTTTCTTTTTTGCTTTTCTTCAATTCCAACCATTCTTTGTCATTTCTGTCTTCCAAAAATTTCCTTTATAGCTCTTCTTGTTTTCATCTCAGCTGATTTGGCCATGGAATTTCAAACAAAGGTGAAAAGGGTGGTTTGAAGATATTTGTAATCACTTTTCGTGTTAGATCAAAGCAAATGACTTAGGTCGGTGGCACGTATAGTCATATCTTTGATTGAAGCAAATGGCTTCATATATCGACACAAGATACTTGCTTCGACTAAAATATGGCTATGCCGACGCAAATTGGTGGGTCGAGACAAATACGCCCATTACTCCACTTAGTCAATCGATCAAGTTGAGGTAGCTCACATGTATTCATCTTGTCTTCGTTTAAGCAAAATCCCATTAGATCGATGATACACAATCATTGAATCGTTAAACAAAATTACCAATGACTAATTCGATCTTAATTATTAAATTAGAAGATAAAAAGTTACGTCGAACTATAATCCTAAATTTAACTTTGATTCGAGATCTAACATGTTCGAAACTATAATAATTGTTGTTGAGCTTTTGTATTTGAAAAGATGGTAACTTTCTACCTCTTTAAGCATATAGTAAAGCATATGAAGAATCCCATATATTCCTACTTTGAAAACGCAACAAAAAAACAGCTTATCTTTGTCCCTTCAAAGTGGGGTATTGATTCCATTTTGGACAACTATATCTTCCACTTCACTTTGACACCTTATGACATGATTCTCTACTCTTTTAACACCTCTAAACCTCTCAATCTAAATCAACCCTTAACAAGATTTGTTGAACATCGTACCGAATGAGCTCACCCGATAAGGAGGACTACAAGCTGAAGGACACGAAACTGCAGCTCGGCGAGCGATGGCCGCACGGCGGTATACGTGGTGGAGGCGGGTGGATCACAAGCGAGAGAGCGACGAGCACGTACGATCTTGTGGAGCAAATGTTTTACCTTTACGTTCGTGTGGTGAAGGCAAAGGACCTACCGCTGGACCCGGTGACAGGGAGCTGTGATCCATATGTGGAAGTGAAGCTGGGGAATTACAAGGGAAGGACTCAGCATTTTGAGAAGAAAACAAACCCTGAATGGAACAACCAAGTTTTTGCTTTCTCTAAAGAGAAGATTCAATCCACTGTTCTTGAGGTTTTTGTTAGGGATAAAGAGATGGTGCCGAGAGATCAATATGTTGGGAAGGTGGTGTTTGATCTGAATGAAGTGCCCACCAGAGTCCCACCGGATAGCCCTTTGGCGCCGCAGTGGTACAAGTTGGAAGATAGACAAGGCGTCACCAAGGTGATGTTATATTACAACTCAAACATAAATATGAGATTATTTTGTCTTTGAGAAAAGTTCTAAGTTGTTTTCTTTGGCTACTAATAAATTTTGTATGATTTATTGGAAGGAGTTTCAAATTTAGTTTTGATCCTACAAAATTAGGTTTCCACGTCCTTATAAGAAATAATTCGTTTCCATTTTTAAGGGATGTGAGATCTCACAATCCACTCTCCTTGGGAGGCCAGCGTCCTTGCTGACACACTGTTCGGTGTCTAGCTCTAATATCATTTGTAATGATTCAAGTCTACCACTAGTAAATATTGTTCTATTTAGGTTTTCCCCTTTGAGTTTTTCCTTTTAGGTTTTCCCTCAAGGTTTTAAAACGCATCTTCTAGGGAGAGTTTCCACACTCTTATAAACAATATTTCGTTTCTCTCACCAACTGATGTGAGATCTCACAATCCACCCCCTTTCGGGGCTCAGCTAGTCGAGCCTCGATTAAGGGGAGGCTCTTCTAGGGCTCCATAGACCTCAAAGGAGGCTCTATAGTGTACTTTGTTCGAGAGGAGGATTGTTGAGATTTTGGGAGAGGAATCTCACCTCGGCTAAGTAAGGGGTTGATCATGAGTTTATAGGTAAGGAATACATCTCAATTGATATGAGGCATTTTGGGGAAACCAAAAGCAAAGACATGAGAGCTCATGCTTAAAGTGGACAATATCACAATGGTGATTTCCCGCATTTATTTGGTTAATATGCTTTATTTTGAGATAAAATGCAAAGGTCAAAGATATTTTTATTAATTTAGCCATAAAATTGATCTCGCAGGTGAGAGGGGAGATCATGCTTGCAGTTTGGATGGGAACACAGGCCGACGAAGCCTTCCCAGATGCATGGCACTCCGACGCGGCCTTCGTTCATGGAGAGGGCATCTATAGCATAAGGTCAAAAGTCTATGTATCTCCAAAGCTATGGTACCTAAGAGTGAACGTAATAGAAGCACAAGACGTCGAGCCACAAGATAGGAGCCAACCACCACAAGCCTTCGTAAAAATTCACGTAGGAAATCAAGTGCTCAAAACAAAGCTATGCCCAACAAAAACCACAAACCCACTTTGGAATGAAGATCTAATCTTTGTAGTAGCTGAGCCATTCGAAGAACAACTTGTTTTAACCGTGGAAAACAAAGTGTCATCAGCAAAAGATGAAGTCATGGGACGACTCATAACACAACTCAATGGCTTTGAGAGACGTTTGGATCATAGAATTGTTCATTCACGTTGGTTCAATCTTGAAAAGTTTGGATTTGGTGCATTAGAGGGTGACAAAAGGCATGAATTGAAGTTTTCTAGTAGGATTCATTTGAGGGTTTGTCTTGAAGGAGCTTATCATGTCATGGATGAATCTACAATGTATATTAGCGATGTGAGGTCAACAGCTAGGCAGCTTTGGAAGCAGCCAATTGGGATCCTTGAAGTTGGGATTTTGAGTGCTCAAGGGCTTCAACCAATGAAGAAAAATGATGGCAAAGGGAGCACGGATGCTTATTGTGTGGCCAAATATGGTCAGAAATGGGTTAGAACAAGAACTATAACTGAGAGCTTCAATCCCAAATGGAATGAACAATACACTTGGGAGGTTTATGATCCTTGCACTGTTATTACCATTGGGGTTTTCGACAATTGCCATTTGGGTGGTAACGATAAGAACGACTCGAGAATTGGAAAGGTATGTATATCGCTAATATAACAAAAAGCTTATCGATTTCGATATTATCTCTGAGTTATTATAAAAAATAGTTATTGACTTGAATAAGTTTAAGAAAATTGTTAGTGATCTTTAACTTAAGGAGAAAGTTTAGAAAACTGATCGTACTTTCTCTACTATAAATACTCAAGAGATGTATGCTCTTAACAACAACAAACAGGATTGAAAAATGAAGGGTTTATCCAACCATCTTTAAATTGTTTGTTCGTATTGTTTAACAGGTACGTATAAGACTTTCAACACTCGAAATGGATCGAATCTACACCAACTCATATCCGCTTCTCGTGTTACAACCATCTGGGTTGAAGAAGATGGGAGAGCTCCAACTAGCTGTGAGATTTACATGTCTTTCCCTAGCACACATAATCTATCTCTATGGCCATCCCCTCTTACCTAAAATGCACTATCTCCACCCCTTCACCGTCAACCAAGTCGATAGCTTACGATTCCAAGCGATGATCATAGTAGCGGCGAGACTCGGTCGAGCCGAACCATCTTTAAGAAAAGAAGTTGTAGAATACATGTTAGATGTCGATTCCCATATGTGGAGTATGAGAAGAAGCAAAGCAAACTTCTTTCGAATTGTTTCGCTCTTCTCGGGCGTCATTACCATGAACAAATGGCTTGGAGAAGTTTGCCAATGGAAGAATCCGATAACATCGATTCTCGTTCACATCCTCTACTTCATCCTTATATGTTTCCCCGAACTCATCCTCCCAACAACTTTCCTCTACATGTTCCTCATCGGCGTCTGGAACTTTCGGTATCGACCAAGACATCCACCGCACATGGATATCAAGCTCTCTTGGGCCGAGGCAGTTCATGCAGACGAGCTCGACGAGGAGTTTGATACTTTTCCGACGTCGAAAACGCAAGATGTGGCACGAATGAGGTACGATAGGCTAAGAAGTGTTGCGGGACGGATTCAAACCGTTATAGGAGACATTGCGACTCAAGGGGAAAGGTTTATGGCGCTGCTTAGTTGGAGGGATCCAAGAGCTACGAGCCTTTATGTTTTGTTTTGCCTTGTTGCGGCCATTGCATTGTATATTACGCCGTTTAAGATTGTGGGTTTGGTTGCGGGGATTTATTGGCTTAGACATCCTAAGTTTAGGAGTAAGATGCCATCGGTGCCTAGCAATTTCTTTAGAAGGCTTCCTTCTCGAGCTGATAGCATGATTTGATGGATCATCTTGGAACCTCCCCATTTTTAAAACCTAATTCTTGAGAGAGATGTATAATTTTACCCTATCGTTCTTCGATTTCTCATGATTTCTTTCGATTTTCTCTCACTAATCTCATGTCCTTGATATAATGAATTGCCCATGTTTGATAGTTTCTTGATGTACGAAATTTTCATAGAAAAATACACTTACGACAATCTACTGATACACTTAAGATTTGATACAATGATATACCCAAGTTAAATTTGAGCTTTCTTTGTAGTCTTCATGATCTTTTGAAATTGAACGACTTCCTATACATGATTGAGAAAATAATTTCTTTAAGAGTTTGGACATATCGTCTATCTATTGAATATATCCTTGAATTATTCTGGGTAGATAATAATTATCTACCCAAATTTACTGACTTTGAACTTTCTTTGCTTTCTTTTGAGTACTAGGATTATAATTTAAAGAAATGTCATGGATGTTCTCATATTCAAACTTTGGTTCGACCAAAACTTCTAAAGTGACATGTTCAAAAGTAAACAGTTCTTGAACAAACCTTAGATGAGGAACAACAACATATTTGTAGGTCAAAAAACGTGCGAAAGTGTAACCGTGGATGACTCCTTGATTTGAATATCAACTTACCCATTTTGGGGAACAAGTTCTTATGGGTATGAAATCATCTCCAAGAGAAGAGGAGAATATTCCTCAACCATTATTGGAACGGACTAACAACCTATAATTTAAAAAATAAAAGATTTGAGATTTCTTACAAGTCAGTCATCAATCTCACAATTTGAACTAGTTCACCCACTTTTAATAGCTTTAACACCCTATTTTGAACTTAGTTCATTTGTGCATACTCATAATTGGATTTGTGCATACTCATTTCTAACTTACTAAAATGTCCTCAGAAAAACTTAAATTATATTTTTTATGAGTTATTCGATAAATTTTACGAACGGTTTTTCGGACATACGGTAAAGTTTCTTTCTAGAATTCTTAAGAAGATTCAACAATTTGAAGATAAAAGGAAAAGTTTAGATGAACAGTGTCTTATCCGGGTGTTATAAACAATAAAATAACCCAATTATATTCTTCATCTTGAACTAAATCAAACCTATGCCTACGCATTCATTTGATTTGAAGAGTTTGAAACAAATTCACAAGCAAGAAAAAAGTGACCCATAAAACTTCTCCTTTAATGGTAAGTATGTCCGGATAGAATGGGGAAAAGACAAATAAACAAGCTAATAAGTGTCCGAAAAACATGCTCTTACTTGGGAGGCAAGATGGTACTTTCATACTATCATCATATCAATTGTGTACCGTGTTTACGGATTGGGTTGGGTCCGGTCCAACTAGGACATTTTTTATAGCTAACTCAATCAGTTATAAAATTTTCGTACAATTTTGAATCATTTTGTAACCGCCGAACCCCACAACTAACGAATATTGTCCGCTTCATCCCGTTACATATTGCCATCAGCATCACGGTTTTAAAATGCATCTACTATAGAGACGATTTAGCCCTACTCCGACCAACGCCTCGTATCGTCCAGTGGCTGACTCTAACACCATTTCTAACAGCCCAAGCCCACCGTTAACAAATATTGTCCGCTTTGACCCATTACATATCACCGTCAGCCAGATGCATTTTAAAGCCGTGAGGCTGATGATACACAACGAACCAAAGCAGACAATATCTATTAGCGATGAGTTTAGACTATTACAAATAATATCAGAGCCAGACACCGTTGTGTCGCGAGGACGCTGAGCTCCAAGGGGATGAATTGTGAGATCCCAAATTGTTTGGAGAAGAGAACAAAACATTTCTAATAATGGTAGAGAAACCTCTCCCTAGCATACCATCTGTGGAATCATTCAAGCTATTATAAATCCATGACTATCCCACTTCATAATTCATTCCTACCATCAACAATGGTTCGTCTAAGCCTCAAATCTCCACTTCTATCCACCTTCTCCCTCCTCTTCTTCTTCATCTTCTTCACCATTTCATTTGCAGAACTCTGCAACCCAAACGACAAGAAAGCTCTCCTAAACATCAAGAAAGCATTTAACAACGCGTACTACTTCGCCTCATGGAAGGCCGAAGAAGATTGCTGTACTTGGTACAGCGTCCAATGTGATGAGAACTCCCACCGCATCATCTCCCTCACTTTGGCCGTCGACAAACAAATCTCCGGCCAAATCCCGCCGCACGTCGGCGAACTCCCATTCCTCCAATACCTCACCTTCCACAAGCTCCCAAATCTCGTCGGCCCCATCCAACCCGCCATTGCCAAACTCCACAACCTCAAACACCTGGACATAAGCTGGACCAAAATCTCCGGCACCATCCCGGACTTCCTCAGCTCCCTCTCCAACCTCTCCTACATTAGCCTCTCATTCAGCAATCTCTCCGGCGCCATCCCGAGCTCCCTCTCCAAGCTCCCAAATCTCTCCTATCTCCAATTGGACCGGAGCAAACTGACAGGACAAATCCCAGATTCTTTCGGGGACTTTAAGGCTGAAAATTTCAACCTTTATCTTTCCCACAACAAACTTTCCGGCAAAATCCCACCTTCCCTCTCCAAAGTGGACTTCAGCGCCATTGATTTGTCAAGGAACAAGCTTGAAGGCGACGCCTACATGATATTTGGAGCACAAAAGAAGGCTTGGAATGTTGATTTGTCGAGGAATTTGTTGGCGTTTGACATGTCCAAGGTTGTCTTCTCAACGAACTTATTTATGTTGGATGTTAACCATAATAAGATCTTTGGGGGTTTGCCGCCTCAGATGTCGAAACTTAGTCTCACTTCTTTGAATGTGAGTTACAATAGGCTTTGTGGTCAGATTCCGAAGGGTAAAAAGTTGAAGAGATTTGGTGTTGATTCGTATTTTCATAATAAGTGTTTGTGTGGTAAACCACTTGAGAGCTGTAAGTGATGATCTATTTCTCATTGTCGCGTGGAATTTCAAGTTTCTATTAATAAAAGTGTTGTGTAAGCTTTTTATTAAGTGTTTCATGCTCTAACTTCAAATGGGTCGTTTTCGCTAATCGTTTCCTAGACGAGCTCTTATAATATCTCATGATTAAGTTAATCGGGTCTCCTTCGGTAGTGATATCTCATCTGATAACACTAGTCACTCGGGTTTCTGAATAGGGTCCTAGTGAACTCTATAAGCTTTAGTGTGATGGTTAACTTTAGGCAAGTGTAATTTGCCCCGGATTCGAAATCCAAATTTGGCAACTCATGACCCTAGCAATCCTTTTCATCTCCTACGAAATATCTACACTACTTGGTGGTCTTAATCTATTTGTTAGCCATTAACACTGCTACAACTGATGTAGATCTTGTAACCATGATATCTAGAGGCTCTACCTTTGTTTGTGCATGTTCACAAATAATCTATAGATAATTGTAAATATGGAACCTAATCTCATCAATATACTTAAATCAAGCTAAAAAAATAGGTTCTTTTTCATATAATGTCGGGGTCCATCCTTTCTTCTATTAGTGCTAAAGTAGGCCATAACTCGACCCTATTGGTGTAGTCCTTATCTAATGTTCATTGGCCTACTATAAGAGTTTTATAGCCTTTAACTTTGTGAACATGTTTGTCCAATCTTGATGACAGCTCAAAGCGTAGTCATATATTTCTAATAATCACATGTTGCTACTAGGTTTGGATTTCTCCTCTGTGACTCATAAGTGACTCATAAGTGGCATCATGTGCCTATCGCACACTTGAATGTCCATAAACTTAAACTTAGTCTTCGAAGATTCCAACCCATAATCTTTACCGCCATGATCTACAAATCTTATCGCTCAAAGTCGATGAAACTTATTCCAATATGTACATGCTACTCTAATTTAAACTTGCTACATTGGGATGAAAGTGATGGAACATTTAGCAAAAAAATTAATAAATAAAGTGAGTATTTTAAAGCAAAATATTTGTATATATTGAAAGTAGTGCTGATAAAGCAGACAATGATTTTGACTGCTCTTGCAGCTTTGTGAGACAGCCGTACATCATCCAGCCTTGCATTATTTTTATGCCAAAAGTTAAAAAGAAAAAAAGAAAAAACAAGAAATAATTCAAGAAGTCGTTCAAGAAATTATTTTTATTCAAGAATTTTCTTTTCAAAATTTATTTGATTGGTTTAAACATATATTTTAGACCGAAAGACGGCAGGTTCAATCTATCATCTTTGCACGTATTGAACCAGATATAAATAAATATACGATTAAAAATAGTACATTCATGTTCCGTTTGAAATGAATATTGATTGATGTAACGTCTCATGCCGAAGATTAGAATCAGAATTTGGAATTCGAATTCGACACCTAATGACCTTAACATTCCCTTGTATCCCCTGCAACATGGTCACTTTATTTACTTCTCGCTTCTCTTCTAAGAGCGAAGACTATCCCCACAAACCAATATGAGTCTTTTGAGCATATTTTGTCCTCGTTCACATGCATGCCAAGAAAATTCTTAGGAGATTACCCAACATAAAATTGCTTCATGTAAGGCATAATTAACCATGAAGTTCCTATGATTGAGCTAGCGAAAAGAAAGGTGCATCTTAATTGATATAGGTAACAACTTTCATTTCCTTTATGTCTTTCTTAGTTATCCTATCATCAAGACACTCTCAAACATATGTGGTCTTGATTCATTCATGTACTCCAAATTTATGAGCCTGTGACACAAGTTGGGGCATTAATGTGATGGTTCAAGAGCCATTCTTGCTCGATCGAATCCAAGTGGGCCGATCTCTTGCAAGCACATTTAAAGCAAGGAGATAAGTTGTGGGGGATTTGGGAGGAGGCCCATGATTTCATTGCTGCTAAAGAGGAGGGCATGGCTTGAGCCAGCTTCATAGACCCCCTTCTTTGTACTTGAAGGATAACCGATAGTTGCCCCTTTTTTTTTTTTTTTTTTTACGTGACACCCAAGTAAAAGAGAGGTACATAAATGACCTAAGACTACATTCGAATAAGATGGATCATGAAGATAGGATAGCTAATAAAAATTTACTAGAATTGAAAGTCACTACCTATATCAATAAGGTGCACATTTTAAGAATTTTCCTGAAACGCATGTGACTGAATTAGATGATGTAGAAGAATGTCAAGTCCATCCAGTTCTAAATTTGGATTTCAAATCTTGATGTGGATCCTGCGCAAGGAACATTACAAATGGTATCATAGTAGTAGCTCTCCTAGTAAGATATAGTTGGAAGACAAACTAAGGTGGAAGCTCGAATGAAAGCGGTCTTGAGGATAGCATGACTAAGAAATGTTCAAAAGAAATGAAAGTTACTACCTTTACTACCTATACCAACAATGTGCAGCTTCTTTTTTTAGTGGTTCAATCATAGTGTGATATCCCACATGGGTCAGGGAGGAGAATGAAACACCCTTTATAAAGGTGTAGAAACCTTTCCCTAGCAGACACGTTTTAAAAACCTTCAAAGGAAGCCCAAATGAGGAAGCCCAAATGAGGAAGCCCAAAGGAGAAAGCCCAAAGAGAACCATATCTACTAGCGGTGGGTCTGAGCCACTACACATAGGAACTCCATAGTTAAGTGTAGTTTATATTGAACACTTCAAGTATGTACAATAAGGAATATAGAGAGTGCAAAAAGTACATTTTCAAAGCACTGAGTAGTGGAGTATATATATGGTTCATCATCTACCATATATAACTTTACCAAATATGATTTTTTATATCAATTTAACTGATGTAGCTTTACCATGTATAACCATTGAGTAAGCTATAAATAAGCAGTATGCTCTATAACCTAACCATTAAGGTTTTGCACCACCTCCATTTTCTACCTGAGAATTTCATTCTCAAATGACCATCAACATCTTCATTTGATTTTCAAGTTCAGCTGGCAAACACATCTGATTTATGTTTCAGGAGATAAAGTCACACCTTCCTACTGAAATAATCGATGAAGATGACATAGAACTTTGATCTACCAAGTGATGGAACTAGAGATGGTCCCCAAATGTCTGTATAGACCATTTCCAATCACACTTTCTTTAGTTCTTTAATAGCCTTTGTGAAGCTAACTCGTTTATGTTTACTCATAACGCAGCTCTCAGAACTCATATCAACCGATTTCAAACCTTCTAAAACTTCTTCCACAACCAACTTCTTCATTCCTTTGATGCTCATATGTCCAAGTATGTTAGGCTAGAATTTGAAGCACTCTCAACAACAACAACCATCTTTATACACCAAGGTTCCATATTTTGTGCCACGTGCTACCACCATAGCACCTCCTATCGTTATTCATTAAGTTTCATTTCATTCCATTTATGACAATCCCGACTAATTTAGCTTCTTGTCTCTAGAGGAGCCGTATGAGACGGAAGCTCCACGTACGGTTTGGATCAATCTTTCTAGAGAAATCTTTGAAATGGCTTTATCTCCCCATGTTCTTTTCCTTTCCATTTTTGCTCCACTCTTAACTCTTCCACCTCTCAAGTCTTTTTCTCAACTCTTTCTTTCCTTTCTTCGATACACACCTCACCGACCTTTAATTTTCCTCCACCACTTCCCAAATCTCTTCGTTTCTTCTTTCATCATTACATCCCCAACTTCTCTTTTCATCATTATTTATAACATTAAAAAAAAAAAAAAAAAAACACGTGCTCTTATTTTGGAGGGCAAAAAGGTAATTTTTCAAATACCATTATATCAAAGGTAATGTTTCTAAAAAAGAAAAGAAAATAGGCATTACATAAAACGTGCTCTTACTTTGGAGGGGCAAAATGGTAACTTCCATACACCCATTTCATAATTGATATCCATTGTCGGTCAAACTTAGTTATATATAAATCCATAACTCTCCCACTTCATAATTCAACAATTACATCTGAAGCCCTTATCATCAACCATGCTTGTTCTCACCCTCAAATCTCCTCTTCCTCTCCTCTTCTTCTTCATCTTCTTCACCATTTCATTTGCAGAACTCTGCAACCCAAACGACAAGAAAGCTCTCCTAAACATCAAGAAAGCATTTAACAACGCGTACTACTTCGCCTCATGGAAGCCCGAAGAAGATTGTTGTACTTGGTATAGCGTCGAATGTGATGAGAATTCCCACCGGATTATCTCCCTCGACATCTCCACCGACAATGAAATCTCTGGCCAAATCCCGCCGTATGTCGGCGACCTCCCATTCCTCCAATCCCTCATGTTACACAAGCTCCCAAATCTCGTCGGCCCCATCCAACCCGCCATCGCCAAGCTCCACAACCTCAAACACCTCGACATCAGCTGGACCAATATCTCCGGCACCATCCCGGACTTCCTCAGCTCCCTCTCCAAGCTCACATACATTCGCCTCTCCTTCAGCAATCTCTCCGGAGCCATCCCGAGCTCCCTCTCCAAGCTCCCAAATCTTGAGTTTCTTCAATTGGACCGTAGCAAACTGACAGGACTAATCCCATATTCTTTCGGGGACTTTAAGGCTAAAGGTTTCTACCTTTATCTTTCCCACAACAAACTTTCCGGCAAAATCCCACCTTCCCTCTCTAGAGTGGACTTCGAATCCGTCGATTTGTCAAGAAACAAGCTTGAAGGCGATGCCTCCATGATATTCGGCGCACACAGGTGAGAATATTTACTAAAACTACTGCACCTAGATGATGGAGAAATTCTCTATTTATAATCATCAAATAAATGGACACATTAACTATAATAAACAGAAATATCATATCGAGATAGTTGCCTATAATTAAACGTCAAATATAATAGATATATGATAAACTATAATTCATGACTAAATATCTTTAACAACAGGAACACATGGAAAGTTGATTTGTCAAGGAATTTGTTGGAGTTTGACATGTCAAAGGTTGTGTTTTCAAGGAGCTTGTTTATGTTGGATCTTAACCATAATAAGATCTTTGGGGGTTTGCCGCCGCAGATGACGAAGCTCAGTAATCTTAACTCGTTCAATGTGAGTTACAATAGGCTTTGTGGTCAGATTCCAAAGGGTGGAGAGTTGCAGAGATTTGATGTTTATTCGTATTTTCATAATAAGTGTTTGTGTGGTGCACCACTTGAGAGCTGCAAGTGATGATCCACTTCTCATTATGCAGTGGAAATTTCAAGTTTCTATTAATAAAAGTGTTGTGTAAGGTTTCTATTAAGTATTTAATGTACTGATTGGTATACAAATTCTAGCTCTTCCTAAAGTTGGAGAATATTAAAGATGTTTCATTATGGTCAAAACGTGTAAGTTGCTAACACATACGACAAATGCACAATTTGATAAGGCAATTGAAATCCATGTTGGGAGATGAGACCTGCATCGGCTAATTAAGGGGTTAATTATGGGTTTATAGTAGGAATACATTTCCATTGGTACGAGGCCTTTCGAGAAAACCAAAAGCAAAGCCAATAGAGCTTATGCTCAAAGTGGACAATATCATACCATTGTGAAGATTCGTGATTCCTAACATGGTATCAGAGTCTTGCTCTTAACTTAATTGTGTCAATAGAATCTTGAAATGTCCAGCAAAGAGTTGTGAGCCTCGAAGGGATAGTCTAAAGTAACTCAAGTGTCAAACAAATGATGTACTTTATTCGAGGGTTCTAAAGAAGAAATCAAGCCTCGATTAAGGGGAGGCTGCTCGAGGGCTCCATAGACCTCAAGGGAAGCTGCCTCGAAGGTGTAGTCAAAGGTGACTCAGGTGTCAAACAAAGGGTATAACTTTGTTCGAGGGCTCCAAGGAAGGAGTCGAATCTTGATTAAGGGAGGCTATTCGAGAGCTCTAGAGAAGAAGACCTCAAGGGAGGCTCTATAGTGTACTTTGTTCGAGGGAAAGATTTTAGGTAAAGGCCTCAAGGTGGTTCATGATTCCTAACATTTTTAACATGCTTTAGACTCTCCCCAAGATTCAGACTAGCATATTGTTGTAACATCGGATGCCCAGACTCAGATATGACCACATTATTTACTTTTCTTGAAATACTTCTAAAAGTGAAAACATCCCTATAGACTTACAACGGGTTCCTTTAGCCTGCTTTGTCCTCACTTACAACTTTTTTAGGAAGTCATCCAATATAAAACTATTTCCAGCTAAAAATCCTTAACATTGGAGTTCTTATGACTAAGCATTTGTTGACCTTTCAAATCATTCATATACCTCTCCATGATTCTCACTCATTTTTGGCTCAACGTCTTCGTCTCAAATAGATGCACGAAGAAGTTGCAAGTCATGGAAGTCTATATTGAGAGTTAGCAGCGAGGAAATAGTCGGTCTAGTCCAATCGAACCAGTTTGATCTGCTTAACTTCGATGTTCAATCTAATTTTGATGGTACTCATAGAGCCTATTTGAGGAGTTTTAGAAGAACTCAGACCAATCAGTGCAAACAATCATACAAAATTTCTGTAGCAACAAGGAAAACATGAAACCTAGCTTTGAATGGTTCTAGTAATAAAACCACTTATTTGACCTCTAATCCAAACAAAGGAATCATTAACTCCTAAAACAAATTTTTTCCCAAACCTACGATTACCCATAGGGTTTCTAACTCAAGCTTGCCTTTGGATCTTATAAGCTATGAATAATCTGAAACGAGACCGATAAATTTGAAGATCCCATTCGAAACACAATAACATCACGAATTCTAGTTTGAAAACGAACTAACCTCACACTGGAATGTCCTTTGGGATCATGGGTGTCGGCGTTTGCGTGCGCGGGGGCTATATAGGCATCGATCAGCGGTAGTCGGTGTCTACACATGAACGACAGAGAGAGATGTAAAGGAGATGCCGGATGGGCATCACTTGGTCAGTGAGTCTCGTCATCAGTGTCGGCGGTGGCATCGTCTTGGATTGTCGCCAAGGAAGTGAAGAAATTGGAGGGCTTTCACGAAGGAGTATGCAAAGATTCAAAAAAAATTTATAACCCAATTCATTTGGATTTAAATAACCCATAATTTTATGGATTAGATGGGTTACTCCTTCCAATAATTTTAATGTTCCTCCTAAAATCAACGCTAAATTCATCGAGTTGTTCCAAAGAATCAAAGAGTTGTTTCAAAGAATCAAAATATTTCATTATTAATGAAATTTCTTGTCGACTCTTTGCTAGATACTTATTTGGATAAGGGTTTTCAAAAAGGACTTTCTTTCAAAGTTTGAAAACTTCAGTCAGTCATAAATTTTCATACCCTTATAAGAAATGTTTTGTTACTTCTAGATATCATTTTTTTTTCTTCATTCTCCTTTTCATTCCTTAGCTCAATAATGTAAAAAGAAACAAATTTTCGAGCGAGCGTTTTATTAAAAATATACATCTAAATTAGTTGAAGTATGATAAAATTATAAAATTAATAGAGATAAAAAAGAGGAACTTTCATTTCTTAAATGGCACAACTCTTTGACTGTTCTAGTGAAAGAGCAATTGAAATAATTGACATTAACCAGCCAAGAGCTCTACATACAAAAAGATTAGTCATTTATCTCACAGCTACGCCTCTAAAATCAAAGTAACACCACCCAGATCTCTTCACTGCGATTTGATTCGATCGAGACTCTCCGAAACCAATCGCATTCGAGGACGAAGCTCGGGATCAAGCTCTGTGCAATTCAGCGCAATGTGAAATGTCGAAACCACTTGTTTCTTGGCATAAATCTCCGGCACGAGTGCCGGGTCTATAATCTCGGTCAAGGGGCGCTCTTCTTGAAACGCCTTCCTCACGAAACATTCCAACCCCTTCCCCCCATCGGTCTCCGAGCCTGCATTAGGCAATCGACCGCTCAAAAGCTCAAGGAGGACAATACCAAATGAATAAACGTCGCATTTCTGAGTGTACTTCCCTCCAAACTCACGAACCTCTGGCGCTAAGTACATTGCTGAGGGAGTTGTCATGCTTGGCCCCATGATTGAGGTGGTGATCATATTCTGGCTTGAGCTTAACTTTTTGGATGCTCCTTGGCTGAGACGAGTGAGTCCGAAACCTGAAACGTAAGGCTCAAGATCATCGTCGAGAAGAATCTTCGTCGATTTTATGTTTCCATGTACGTACTTCCGAGCACCGAATTCATGAATATATGCCAAACCCCTTGCAGCTCCTTGGGCAATTTTTAACCTTGCAGACCATGGCAGAGGTGACAAAGAACTGGAGGGGCCTCCTGCAAATCCATAAAACGAATAAAATAAGCTATGCCAACATATTTACAGTAGATTAACTCATTGATTCTTAGTAACCCAGATGCCCAAAACAGTATCACAAGAAATGAAAACAGAGCAGCATAAAGTGATTGTGATAGTATCGTATGAGATCTCACGTTAGTTGGAAAGTGAAACAAAGCATTCTTTTTCCATATAAGGGTGTGGAGACTCCTCCCTAACAAATGCGTTTTAAAATTATGTGAGACCGACGGCAATACGTAACGGGCTAAAGCGGATAATATGTACTAGAGGTGGGCTTGAGCTGTTACAACGGTACCAAAGGCAGACACCAGACAATGTGTCAGCGAGGACCCTAGCCCTCAAGGAGGTGGATTATGAGATTCCACGTCGGTTGGAGAAGGGTACTAAACATTCTTTATAAGAGAGTGGAAACCTCTCCCTAGCAAATGCGTTTTAAATCCGTGAGACTGACGGCGATATATAACGAGTCAAAGCGGACAATATCTCCTAGTGGTGGATTTGGGCTGTTAGAAATGGTATTAGAGTCAGACACCAGGCGATGTGCAAGCGAGGATGCTGGTCCGAAAGGGTGAATCGTGAGATCCCACATCGGTTGGAGAGGGAAACGAAGCATTATTTATAAGAATGTGGAAACATCTTCCTAACAAATACGTTTTAAAACTGTGAGAGTGAAAACAATAACGTAACCCGTCAAAGTAAACAATATCCTTTAATGATGGATTTAGACGTTCGAGCCTGTCCTATTAATTTAGGAGTGCTACATATGAGATTTGGCAGAGAGAAAGAAAGAGGACCATAGAAAATTAAGGGCAGCTGCAGTGCATGCCTCAAGAGTAGTGGGGGAGATAGACAATTCCAAGAAAAGACAAAGAATGATGGGGTCTTAAATATTGGGAATGGTGCCACTGTGTGTGGGGGAGCAAAGATGCCCCAACTTTCAATTTCTAACTTAATTCACAACCAACCAAACTAAATAATTGAAGATGCCAAAAGATGTCCCAAAAATCAAACCGTTTTGTAATACCCATCCTCAACGTTCCAAATTTGAACTCGATACTTAATGGCTTTGCTATTTTCTTACTTCTCGAGTAAAATGGTTAGGTTACTTTTAATTTTTTTAAGAATGAATACTATTTCCATAAATTGGAACAGTGTTCTATTAACATATTTTGTTCTCACGATTAATAAATATTATTTGTTTTGGCCTATTACGTATCGCCGTCATCCTCACGGTTTTAAAATGCATCTACAAGAGACGAGTTTCTATACCCATATAAGAAGTGTTTCGTTCCCTTTTCCAACCAATGTGGGATCTCACAATCCCAAAAATCAAGCCACCCCCTTAGCCTAATAATCCCTACGACGTAATCATATTACTTACTCTTGACTTTTTAAGAGTGAAAACTATCTCCAGAAACCAACATGAATCCTTCTAACATATATTATCCTGACTTACATAAATCCTATAAAAATTTCCAAGAGATCACCTAACATAGAATTGTTCCAAGCAGAGCACGCTTAAGTATAGAATTCCTATGATTGAACCACGAAAGGTGCATCCTTGGTGATATAAGTAGTTACTTTCAATTCTTTTATGTTTTTTTTAGTCATCTTATCCTTGGGATCACTCTCATCCAAATGTAATCTTGATTCATTCATGCACTTTTCATTTACTCGGGTGTCGCAAGTTCTTCAAATATAAATATAATAGGGTTGGAATATTGTCATCAAAGCTATCCATCGTAAACTGTAAATAACTTACGGAACAAGTTCAAGCTATGACGGTTACCTACCTAAATCTTAATATCCTATCAATTTTCTGGACAATTAAATGTAGTTGAGTCGGTTGGTCGTGTCGTGAGATTAGTTGAGATATGTGCAAATGGGTGAGGTAATCACGATTTACTCCATCTATAAAGTAAAAAAGGGTTAAAATTTAGAATTAGTTACCATGTAAGGCAGAGTGCAAGCTTCCATTGTTGATGAAATCAGTGACCACCAATTTCTCATCAATTGCATAGTAATGAGCTATCAACCGTAGGATGTTGGGATGGTGGACCCTACTAATGGACTCCATCTCATACTCAAAATCCTTGAACGTCAACGTGGCATCACCATCGTTAAGTCTCCTTACAGCTACAATACTCGCGGCCGCACCAGATCCCCGCCCAGCCACTACCTTATACACTATCCCACTCCTACTCTTCCCCACCACGTACGCCGATGCCCTCAACAAATCCTCTAATTCCAAATTCATCCCTTCATCGATCACTACGAATTTACCGTCTTGCCCTTCCAAATCCCCCTCACTGTTCCCCTCCGGACTCCCCTTTCCCGATTTGCCCACATCTCGCTTCCTCACTTCCGCCTTCCTCCGGAACAACCACACCGTCAGCGACACAACCCCCATCACCGCGAATATTGATGACACCACCGCCACCGTCGCAGCGGCGCCACTCCCCCTTGTAGCTCTCCCTCCGCCGTATCCTTGAAAATTACCGTTCAACGACTTGGGATTCTGCGGATTCTCAGGGATAACATTCGGGTTCTGAGCTTCCGGACATAGCGTCTGTAACGGAAACCCACAAAGACTTGGGTTGCCGGAGAAAGCCGTCGGGCCTTGATTCAACAGCGAACCCACCTGCGGAATCTTTCCGGTGAGGTTATTGTGACGAACATCGAGATTCACAATCAGCGGGAGGTTCCCAAACGACGGCGGAACCTCGCCGGAGAATCGATTGTAGGACAAATTGAGAGTCCCGACAAGTTCCGTCAACTCCGTCAGCCGCTTCGGGAGAGACCCATTGAGGGAATTAGAGGACAAATCGAGATGCCGGAGATTCCGGAGTTCGCCGATTTGATCCGAAACCGGACCGGAGAGGGAGTTGTGAGAGAGGTCGAGGAAGACGAGATTGGTGGCGTTGTAGAGATGAACCGGAATCGGTTTAGAGAAATTGTTGAAAGCGAGGCTGAGGCGCTGGAGGGAATCGAGGAGGCCAAGCTCGGAAGGGATGTAGCCGGTGAGGCCTTTGTTGGTAAGAGAGAGGTGAGTGACTCTGTCGCGGGTGCAGAGGATTCCAGGCCAGTGGCATGGGGTGGAGTCGGAGTCGGACCAGGACGCGAGGACGTGAGATGGGTCGGTTTCAATGGCGGCCTTGAGGGCGAGAAGGGAGAGGCCATCGGAGTTGAGAGAGGAGGAGAAGGAAATGAGGAAGGAGAAGAAGGTGAGGAAGGAGGAAAATGGGGAGGAGGAGGAGGAGGGCATTTTGGGGATTTCGGATTGGTGGTTAAATTAGGGGTTTGGAATCCGCCATTGTTGAGGAGGTTGGAGTTGCAGAGAGTTAGTGAGAGGAGGAAGAAGGAAGGTGAGATTTTGAAATTTTGATGCCTTGTGCTGTATAACCCACTAATCCCAATAAAGTGGGAAGGGAAGGGATGAGTTTTTATTTTTATTATTATTTACTATTTATTTATTTCTTATTATTATTAAAATATCATCTTCAAAAAATTAGATGACTCAAAATTCCGATCTATTTTAAAATGGTAAGGTTTGCAGCTATATATAACGGGTTAAAATGAACCACATACATTAGTGGTGAATTTGGGTTAAAACGAACAACATATATTAGAAGTTCTTGTCGTCGGAGAATCAAGTTATGTCTAATCAACACATGTTGAGGATGGTTGGAGTCTCGCATCAACTAATTAAGAAGATCATGGTTATATAATCAAGAGACATTATCATAAGGGACATCATCCCCTCATGGTTATATAAGCAAGGGACATCATCCCCTAGCCATTATCGTTTTCACCCCAGTACACGCACTAATAGTCGATCTAACTCTAGTTTAGATCGATTACGAGTATTTTAGACGGAATTGATTATGTATATGTTTACGAGATAATATAACCTAAAAATATTTATAAAGAGTCAAGTTCGAGCAATCATGAGATACGTTATATATTATTGTATTTCTTGACTCTAAAATAATAAATAAGAAAGTAAACTAAAGCCCACAGTAAGGGGCTTGCGACCTTCCCATTATTAGCACAATGCTCTATAGAGCTAATAGGTCAATTGTTAAATGGAAGTGTCATATATTTTCACACTTAATTTCGTTTTTTTATAGATTTGAAAAAGAACAAGCATTTATTAGTACAATGCTCTAACCAATTGAGCTAATAGGCCCAAATAGGCCAATTGTTAAATGGAAGTGTTATATATTTTTACACTTAATTTAGTTTTTTTTATAGATTTGAAAAGGAACCCGTATATTATGGCCCATGTAGGTCTCATAAGACATAAGACCTTCGTGTTATTAGTATGACGTATTGATATAATAGGCAAAATGTTTGTTTGTTTATGATGAAGTATAATGATTTGTACCAAAAATTAAACGAGTTAGGTTCAATCTAGTTTTAAATTGTATAGTACAAAAAAAATAAAAATGATTACAAAATGGTAAGTTATATCAAAAACTTGCTATGTTGGGATGTTAATACTAAAAGATGAAATTTGAGAGGCAAACATTTGATTTGTAATATTTTATAAATATATCTTTGTAATATCCTATGCCCAGGATTCAAAATTTGAATTTGATATGATACCCCTCGTCGTTCTCCTATATAACATGGTTATGTTACTTATTTCTTGCTTCAAAGAGTAAAAACTATCCTCACATATCAACATGAGCATGTTTTGTCTTCACTCATATGTTTCTTAGGAAAATTCCTAGGAAGTCACCTATAACAACTTAAGTTCACTGCTAGTAGATATTATCCACTTTGGCCCGCTACGTATCATCGTCAGCCTCACGGTTTTAAAACATGTCTGCTATAGAGAAGTTTCCACATTCTTATAAGGAATGTTTTGTTCCCCCCTTCAACCGATGTGAGATCTCACAATACGTAACGAGCTGAAGCAGACAATATCTACTAGTGGTGGACCTGTGCTGTTACAAATGATATCAGAACTAGTCACCAGACTATGCGAGACACTGGTCGGTGTAGGTCTAGGCCCTCTCCATAGTATATGATTTTTAAAACCATGAGGCTAACGATGATATGTAACGGGGCAAAGCGAACAATACCTACTAACGGTAGGCTTGGCTTGTTATATCACTTAACATAGGAAGATGCACATTGTTGGTATAGATAGTAACTTTCATCATATTTTCAGGATCGCTCTCTTTTAAAGGTGATCTCGGTTCATTTATATATCCGTCGTTGACAGAGTTAAGTGTTTTGACAGAAAAAGTGAGAGTATGGAGTTGAAAGAAAAGACGAGTGACGAGAGATATTAACAAGACTTGGGTATTTCTTGGCCAAAGGGATGGAAGAAGTGAAGGTTTTAGGGTTAAAATTCAAAAGTTGTATTCTTTTGACGAAGGTGTCGGGCAGTAGAGGCAAAGAAAGAGGTTGAAGTTGATGTGTGCCAAAAGGGAAGCTGACCAAAGTTCTTATGAAAAAGCAATTTTGAGCACTTTTCTGTCATTCTTCTTTTCTTTTACTTTTTCCCTTTTGTCAGATTCGCCACATGCTTCGCTAAAGAAACAACCCAAGTCCCATGCTCTTGCAAAAGAGTGGAGGAAAAAGAGTGGACTTAGGAGTTTGAATTCGAAACCGAAACGTTTCAACAGGTTTGAACTTTAGGTCTTTACTGATTGCATTTGATCTTTACCAACTAAGTGCGCCAACGAGGAGGCTGAGCCCCGAAAAGGGGTGGACCCGAGGCGGTGTGTCAGTAAAGATGCTAGGTCTCGAAGGGGAAATGGATTAGGGGGTCTCACATCAATTGGAGAAGGGAACATGTGATGCTAGCAAAGACGCTGGGCTCAAAGGAGGTGAATTGTGAGATTCCATATCGATTGAAGAGGAGAAGAAACATTTTTTATAAAGGTGTGAAAACCTCTCCCTAGCATATCGCGTTTCAAAAACCTTGAGAGAAACTCCAAAGATGACGATATCTACTAGTGGTGGGCTTGAGCCGTTACAATTATATTGTAATATATAATTCTCCTGTGATATTGCAGTATACTAATGAGTACCTAACACTAGGCTACAAGTACAAGGGAGAGTTCGTTTTTGAGGATGCTATATTAGCATTCGGGTTTGCAGAGAACTCCACACACCAAAAGGACCCTTCAGACATACAAGAAATATAACACATGGATCAAACTAATAAGCACATGAAAAGAGGACAGGAAGAAATCTCACCTTCAATACCAAGAAGATCACAAAAATGCTATCCATTGGCATGAAGAACAATATAAAATTACCCAAAACCAAAAACAAAAATTTGTGAAGGTGGCTATCCAAGAAGAGAAAAGATGAAATGAAAGTTACTTAAGGAATCAATATTTATATACACCCCAAGGAAATTAGTCCAAACCTTATCTAGCCGTTACGTCTGAATTATTTTCTTTCTACATAGGGTTTTCGAGAGTACTGATTTCTTACCAGATATGAGCAAAATCCTTGCGGTCTGACTGATTTACTTCATTTTTCTTTCGCATATTTAAGGTACTACAAACTTTGTGACAACTCAAGCCAAGCCTACCTCCAACCGATATTATCTTCTTTGAACTTTCCCTTTTAAACTTCTCCTCAAGGTTTTTAAAATACATCGGCTAGGGAGAGGTTTCCACACCTTATAAAGAATGCTTCGTTCTCCGCTCCAACCGATGTAGGATCTCACAATCCACCCCTCGGGGCCAACGTCCTCGCTGGCACACCACCCAGTGTCTAGCTTTGATACCATTTGTAACAATTCAAGTCCACCGCTAGCAGATATTGTTTTCTTTGGGCTTTCCCTCAAGGTTTTAAAACGTATCTGCTAGGGGAGGTTTCCACACACTTATAAGGAATGTTTCGTTCTCCTCTCCAACCGAGGTGGGATCTCACACCCAATAACTAATACTCACACTTCCCAACAACAACCATTGCCTACTAACCGTTTTTCCCTTGCCCTTCAAACTTCTTGCCATATCTTCTACCTCCTACTGCATGTCCTATGAGTAGGACACATCAAACCGCAAGAGTTGGAACTTCTCCTTGAAAGGGTGGTGGGGAAACAAGTAAAGAGGAGGCTGGTGAGTGATCGCCTATGTAAAAGGCAACAGAACAAAGATACGATAGATAGATTCAACTTTACTAAAAAGTGGGCAGGATTTAGGATATAGCATTTATTGAGGGCAGGCACCAGTTAGGACTCGGTCGTTACTCCTTCATGAGCACGAGTTCAGATGAAGATCAATACTTTTAGTATTTTCCCTTCCAAATTACTCTGAAAAAGAAGAGGTTCTCCCCGGTTATGCAGTTAGCTAACAGATTTAGCAGAGGAAACCCCAGTTAGAAGAAGAATTCAAACTCTTTGGACACAAAAGGTTGCAATTAAAACCCAGGTTCCAATCTCCAAGTACATTAGAGTAGCATCTAAAGTTAGAACACCAGCAAACACAAAAAGCCCAGGAAAAGAACAGAAAAGAGCTCCTCACCAACACATAAGTCCTCTCAAAATCTAACCAAGTCCATGAAACCTACCCTGCAGGAACTCAGTAGTCCTCTCAAAATCTAGAAAGACTGGATGGAGACCTAGGGTCAAGGATCACTAATTGAGCCTTCAAAAAGAAAGGAAGAGCACACATACAAAAGTTTAAATAATACTATATATCAACAAAATGTAGATTCATACTATAAAATCAATGGAAGGGTGTCTGAAGACGCTTCGCTCGTTATCCATGCCACACTCCAAATTCATCAAAAAAAAAAAAAAAAAAAAAAAAAAAAAAAAAAAAAAAAAAAAAAAAAAA